AAGTAACGGCGCATATTTTCCAAAAGTCTCTCCTGGAAGTCATTCACAGTGTTGCACTTGGTTGTACACATGTAAGTGCCAGAACTAGTTGTGTAACAAATGTGAAAAGACTAGATAGGCTGGAAAAAGAGGTTAAAACCCTGGCTTCAATCTCACTTCCACACAGCTGGTCAGTCGTTGCGTGAGAGTGTATTATGAATGTCAGGATTGATGGTTTTTCGGAAAGTAACAGAAATTGTTCAACACAACACCCCACCCCAATCCGTTGTCAGAAAGGTGTGTTTGAGGGCTTTCAATCGTCCAACAAGCAGCTCTGATAAGGCATACTGGCAAATACTGGCAAAAAAATTTGTCTGAATGCTTAATAGGCAATACACCTGACCTAACAAGAGCAATTGGCTTGAATTCTTTAAGATAACTTGATTCAGGAGGAAATGAAGCAGAGTGAAGTGTCCCTATCTAAAGATCCTGGCTGGAGTGGGAGACTTTTGCGGTTGAGGTGACTAAGGAGTCTTATTTCTGGGCCAGATTCACATTAGTGACATTTATCATTGAGAGGGAAGATGGTATAATTAGCTTGTCAGTCTACTTTAGGCTGAGCTGGCGCTCTTTGTGAGGAAGAATGGACTGCAAGCCCAAGGAGCTGACAGCCAGTCGATAATGTGGCAATTAATGTCATAAATAATTCTAAAGCCAATTATATTAAAATGGACTTCACCCTCTAAAACAGCACTTTATTTCCTATCATTTTATGATGTGTTCGGTATCAAACAGCAGGAGCAGATTTTCTTCTTTATTTCTACATATGGCCGACATATGGCTAAGCCATAATGTGAGGCATAAAAATCAGAAGGGCCATGCAGGAGATTTATTTGTTGATTTAGTTTGCTTTTGACTTATGAATGTCTTCCTTACTGCTGAAGCATCACCTGCGGTAAAAGGCAAATACAAAGTGTAAAACCACTTTTAATCAAAATTATATTGCCTCTGTGTTGCTAGCTATATAAAATATCTTCAGCTCTTAAAGAATGTGAGTAATTTAATGGCAGCAGTGGTTAAATATATCAAATGTTCTTTCTGGCCTTGGGAGGGTCAAGCCCAGTGTGATATATAGAGAAGACTGTGATGGCTGAAGGTCGTGTCAGCTTCTTCTGCATAATGCATGAATCCTGTAACTCTCTCCGACTCCAATCTTCTGAACCTGAACCTTGGGATGAAAATTTTACTAAGTAAATCAGCGAGCATGCTGGCATTTCTATTAACCTCCAGTGTGGAACTGACAGAAACATGAATCACAGTAAATAATATCTTGCAAATTGTAAATCATGTTTACAACTTGGGCTGAGAAGTGATGTTATGGGATGGTGCCATCTGTTTGCTGTTTGTTACTGCTAATTTCTTTGCACAGAAGCAAAAGAGAGGGTGCTTTTAATGTGCAAAATTACAATTTACCATAGAAAAGAGGGAAAACACTGATTGCTGAACTAAATTACCTTTACCTCAAGCATTTATTTCTTAAACCAATCCGTATTATATTGAAACATTTGCACCTTACAACATCCACCGATGATATTTTATTTTATGATATGTTAAAGTAGCGATATTATAGTAGCAATATTATCTTATTTTACAGGTTATATTTTGTTTTTGATGAGTGGTATTTCCCACTTCAAAGATGAAAATAGCCAAGAGCTTTGATTTATGCATGCATGGAGTGAAACAGAAGACAGGGAAATGTTGACCTTTACAGGGAACATAAAGGGTCAGTGCAGCAACTGTGCCTTACAGGCAAATTGCCTTCCAGTACCAGCGATCTGTCCTTACAACAGGGATGGAAATTTTTATCTTTTGCCATTTGTTTTCTGTTTCTCCGGTAGAAATGTGGAGAGGCTTGATGTTTCTCTCTGTGCAGGTCACCTCACAGCATCTATATAAAAAAATATAACAATGAAGGAACAAAGGAAGCCGTAGTGACGGAAATGTTAACAGCAAAGTTTTTCTCAATTTAAATCAGATTCAGAGAAATATTCAAGTGGCAGCAGTGAGGATCTTTTACTTTGTTTTAGACACTGCGTGCAAGTCTACAAGCTCCCCTGCCCACCCTCATTTCTGTATCAAAGGGTAAACTAATGCAAAATGTATATGGCCCTTGGCACAAAAGATGGTGGTGCGGCTCGGTACAGGAAGATCTGTGTGCTAAAAGCTTGAAACATCTGTGTAAACACATGGCCTTTTTCCAACCATGTAGACAATGTTCTCATAGCCTTAAGATAGATGTCCAAGGCAATACACCTTGCCCCGGGGCCATGCTGGAATGGCTTTGAACATCTGAAAAACCTTGAGCTTCAAGCAAAATCCACTTTCAATATTCCAGCATGACAGCAAAGAATAGAAGGATTCAAGCCATGCCTTTTATTTGACTCTTTGTTGTTCTAAGAATTGGATCAGTCGTACCAGTGCAGAGTGGAATTGTTTTGGAAATTATTTGTGAAATACATGCTTTTTAATGATGCGGTGATATGTTATGTTTTTTTTTTTTTTTTTTTTTTTATCAGATTATCTTCAAATTTAAAGGATTGTTTAATATAATGGTGTCTGGAGAGGCAGAGGCAAACAGAAAAACAAAACAAAAGAGAGAGGACCTTCTGTCTTTGTTGTTGTTCTTTAATTCTGTTAATAGCCCAAGGTAAAGATTTATCTGTTCTTGTCAATTTACCTCAGCCTCAATATAAAGCACCAAGGTCACTTTTTCCTTGCCTGGCCCACAGGATTAAATTGTCATGTCACTCTAATAGGCAGCACAGGGAATCATTAGTCCAGCTCAGCTGCCTGACTGATAGGCATTTCAGTCCAATCATGGGAGTGTGCCGCCACAGGCCAGCCAGTATTGACACTGTGTCAGGACTGAGAGGGGACGCCTTAATCAGCGAGGACACTCTCAACATTGATTTGACAAGCTGCCGTAATGACCCCCTTGTTTTGGTAAAGGATCACTGTTTATCCAGGCTGGCATTGATGCACTTGGAGTGCTGCATTGTCATGGAAACTATTATCACCAGCCAAGCCTGTGCAGCTGGACAAGAGTTGTGTTCAGAGGGGACCATGGATTTGTGTGAATGTGTGTGTGTGTGTGTGTGTGTATATATATATGGACATCCCAGTGTGACTGGTAGCTACATGTGGTAACTGCAGTTTTAGTTATTTCTTGGAGGCAGACAATGAGCAGAACAGGTGTTAGATGTGACCATGCAAATGTAATCTTTTATCTATAGTTACTCTCTTAATACACTTATTGTAGCATTAACGATTAGCATTCTTTTATTACTTCTGTTTTACGATTGTTGATTAGTGATTGTTAATTTAGTTTGCTTGCTATTAGTTTACTGCTAATAAATCTAGCTATTATACTACTGTAGCTAATGTGTTGCTAATCCAACATTTTAACTGTTTATTTACTGTTGGGCATACTCTTTTTACTGTTGCTCATGTGGACTTCATGTGTGTTTTCTACTACTGCATCCTATGGTCTTTCTATTGACTTTTTTTTAATGGATAGTGACAGCTGTAGAGTGACTGAAGAAGGGGGAATGACACGCACTGAAGGACCACAGGTTGGAGTCAAACCCATTGCTGCTGCAGCAAGGACTCAGCCTTGGTGCATGGGGTGACAGCTCAACCAGGCTGCCCCCATCCTATGGTCTTAATATTGATGTTTCACTGGTGAGGGGCGAGGAAACTAATTTGACAGCTAGGGAACGTCATAGTGAAGAGTCGGTTTTGTTTGATTGTTCTTGAACGTTTTTCAACCCTCCTTGAGATTGAAGATGATATTACACTCTCCCTTTCCAAGGAGGACCCCGATCAATATTTACATATGTCCTTCAAACATAGCTAGCTAACTAACTAACTAACTAAATAAAATAATTCCCAACCTTTTTGTCCAACGTAACCTCACAGATTGGTTTAAACCGTAATTCAATATGGTTTTATGACACTAGTTAGATTTTATATCAGGTACCTCCTTTGTTTTCCTTTGGATAGCAGTTTAATATTACTGAGCAAATAATTAATCCCCTATTATTCTTACACACCTTGCTCAAGGGCGCCTCGGCAGTGCACAGGAGGTGAAACTGGCACCTCTCCAGCTACATTTGAACCGGCGACCCTCCGGTTCCCAAGCCAAGTCCCTACACACTGAGCTACCGCGCCCTAGAAAAGCTATGTAATCATTGTGATTCAAATCAGCCAAGTAGATTATGTCTGTTTGTACAACTGACACTCAAATCTTTGCCTCTCTTTCAGTTCTCAAACAAATCAGTGCTCAACTCCATATTCGTTTTATGAGCTTCCACGCGATATTGTGATTAATTATTCAGACAACTGTCATCATAATTTTACGGAGTACATTTATAATTATCCTCAGTACATAAGTCGGTTCTAGACTTTCCAACACTGCATAGTAGAACCTTAATTCAAAATCCATTAAATTGATTCAGATTTCCTTTGATACAATAATGAGGCTGTTTTTGGGTGTGATGGTTACATGTGTTTGTTTACTAAGGTGACAGCGCTGTTGGCAGGAGGATCAGGGAAATCAGCGGCCTCTCTGCGAGGTGTTAGTCTGTAAATATTATTGGCATGCTGACAGTCTCCCACAGTGTCATGGTGTGTAAAATCATTAACAAGAAACATGATGGGCCCTCTCCATCCCCAAGGTGAGAATGTGGAGAGTGTTTTTATCAGCCATTATCCAGAGGGTTCACCGAGGTGTCCAGTGTCACATGATCAGTCTGGCAATCAGAAAGTGCCTTATGTCATCACCACTGGAGAAGGCTTTATATATGTAGTCCCTCTTTGATAGATAAATGTGTAAAATATAGCCTAGAGCTGCTGGGTAGTAATGTTTTCTTTGTTGAACCTCATGTCTCAACATTGGCCATTCAGGAGCAGTAACTGCCTAGGAAAGTCTGAGAAAATAAATGACATGACACACAGTAGAACACAATACAGTCAGCTTTTAATTTGTGAAAATACAAAATGAAATCATGTACAATTTATGTACAAGCCTATTTGTACAAGACAATAAACTGTATTTATTATTGGGTATTATGACATAGTCAGAAATATCAACTTAGCACTGTCATTGTATCCACAAATCAATGTGCTAAAAAAAAATCACAAAATAATACAAACTAGACTGCAATGCCGAATGTCTCTCAACCCCACAGATACTGTTAAACAAGAATATCTGTCAAACAAAAACACACTAGAAAGAAATATTTTACATTAAGCTTTACAGATTTCTTTGAAGAATACATAAAAATGAATTGCTATCAGGCTCTGCTATTGACAATGGGTCATTTAAAAATACTTTTAAGACTTCAAATTATTTACTACATTTCTAGTTATCTCCAGGGAATTACAGCCTCATATTAAGAAATTACTAGTTTTTAAAATAATGGTCTCTGAGCTGGCAAGATGGAAAGCAAAGAGGAAAGTACATTTCTCAGTCTAGCGGCAAAAGTGAGTTTTGCTTCAATCCAGTTCAACTAGAAGCCTCTTTTCGCAGCAGTGGGTCTTCAGGAGTCCTCCGTTGGCATCAGCACTGCCTGGCACATTACTGGCACTGAGGGACGGATGGTTTGGATGTTCTCTCTGCCAGTAAAAATGTCACAACCTCTCTTTTCAAATCCAACATGAATGCTAGGCTAGACTGTGATGCATCCTGTGTGGATTAAGGATTTTATGGATTGCTTGTGTAGTTTTTCCGGTTTACCTTTCTTTCCCCTTCTCCGATTCCGCTGTACAGTGAAAATAGCAGTATAGCTGTTTGTATTACTTAAATAAGACAAGATTAATAACCACTCTTAGCTCTGCTGGCCTCATGCGCTTACTAACAGGAACAAATGGTCTGTGCTTCATTAGATGTGAGGGAGTGGTTTGCTTTATGAATATATCAGATATTGATCACCAAGATGGTTTAGAGCATATAAATAGCCAAAACCACTTTTTATGATAGAGCTGTTTTTCAAGTATCTATAAAAAAAAAAAAGCATGAACATGTCTGATTATGGTATTAAGATTTGTCATGGAGTACATAAAAGCGCTTAATGGCCTCCAAGACAATCCTGTGTCAGGCAGTGCTTCCAGCCAAAGGAGGACTCAAAAATGCCCACTTCATGCGATATGTGGCTTTTACATTCAACTCAACTACAGACTTGTCATATGACGCCATGCTATATCATAGTATTTTGCTTTGCAGTCTATGGTGTGTTAAGAAAATGAATAGCTCTGTCACTGTGTTAGAAACTGTGAGAGATTTTTGGTTATATTGTAATGTCGTCAACAAAACAGCTCTATCATATTTGGCTATTGACAAAAAAAGAAGGAAAAAAATGAATGAAATGAATATTCCTAATGTTTTACCCCTGGAGAAACTTTTCAGATACTTAAAAGCTTTACTTAGTAAGATTTCTGGGGTTTTTGGACATTGCAACCAAACAGCAACATGAAAACATTTATAACAAACAAGTCAAAAAGGCAAAGATAAGACAAATATAAATGGATAGAGATAAGGCTGGAGCCAAATGCCATTTACACATGGACACTGGCCATCTTAACTGTCACAAATGTTGTGAATTAGCTCCAAATGGCAAAGGAATCACTGAGAGTCAGTCACTAACAATGCCATTGTGGTGGGGTCGCAGCTGGATGTAAAATACACATTTTAACATACTGTACAGAATAGCTCTGCAACATTGGGTAAAGTAAATGCAATAGTAGTAGTTGTTCATCAACAGCTAAAAAGGCAACTTTTACAAATGCAAAACTTGATCCAGTTATCATAATAATACCCTCCTTTAGTAGCAGTAGTGGTAATTTTTACATTGCTGTTCCCCTTCAAGTGACCCTCATTCCCCAAAATGGAACAAAAAAGTCATGGAGTCTGGTCACCACTAAAGATTAGCTGTTCAAACTAATATTTGAGTGGTTGCGACAGTTGACTATGATTGTCTTCATGTATACTTCATGTATGATTCTAAAACTGATTGTACAATAAGCTTGCTGAAGAGGTGAATGAAGGAAGCAGTATGGTTTGTCTCTTCTAATGTCAATTGATGATTTGTGTTTGCAGATGAGAAGATATCCCGAGTCTGACACCTACACGATAAGTCCTCTGGGAGTCCGAGCGTTGAGGTGTCAGTCCGGGTCTGGAGCTCAGCACTCGTCTTCTGCTTCTCTGATGGGTGGAATCAAGCTGTTTGTGGATTTATACTGACTGACTTGGTTGACGGCGAGAGTATTCACAGGCTTGATCTGTATGGTCCTCAGGTGGGTATTCTCTGGCTCATCTGTAAACCATGTCTTTTCTGAGAAAGAGCCAAAATCATACAGAGACAAAGAGGAGGGACATGAGACAGTTAATGCTACATGGAGGTCAATTACAATTTCAGTGTCTGTTTGTGTTTCAAGTGCACACAGAACATTGGGAGGACATTGTGTATTTTAAAAGAAACAATCGTTTGAATTGATTTTGTATAAAGAAATTCTGACATGATAAAAATATGCTCCAAGATGTTTTTGTTTTTTTAAATGGCAGCTCACTTAATGTCCCATTGTCCCAGTTTTCACCTCTGTAATGTCACTCATCTCATGTTTTTAATATATACCGTACTGCCATTGAAGCATGCTGTTTTTGTTGGGTGAGCAGACATGCAGGTCACCAGTTAAACAAAGTCTGTTTCCATACTACACTGTACCAAATTAGAAGTTAATACTTTTGACTTCAATACTATACTAAGTTAAGTCAAAGTTTTTTTGTTTTTTAAAATCTTTTTGAGGGGCTTCAGGCTTTTGGCTTGATGCAACTTTCCTTTCTTATAGAAGGAAATAGATAGTCTGGCATAATATATCGCTGGTGATTCATCCACTTGGCAGTGTCCATGGTCATGCATTTTCATCAACATGACTTAAGGCGGTGGTGCTACAGTACATTAACACATATGCCAGTAGATACATGTTGCCAATAATAAAACATCAACAACACTTGATACAGAATAAAGTGAAGTAGCATCAAACCATTCAGTTGCAATCACACATTCTACAGTCATGTACTGCATAGGTCATAACCATGCAGTCCTGATGCAGTCATTTGGAAACACTAAACTACTTGGCTTTCATTCAGAGGGCAAAATGTCAGCAAGGACATGACCGAGTTCAATGCATTATTTAACATCATGCATAATCATTCACTTCCATACCTTGGCCCACTCTATTCATCCTTGTTGCACTTTGGAAAAAGAAAGTAGTACACTAAATGTAAGCTAAATGGCAAATACTAATATGACCATTAATAACAGAAACTGCACAGCATGATGATCAGAGGTATAAAAACAGCAGAAGCTCTCATTACATATGGATGTGGAGTAGGTTAAACAGTAGGGTGCGACCAACAACTCAACAAAAAATAAAGAAAAACAGAACATGTATCATGTCAGAAAATCTTTTAAGTGCCATTACTATGCATCTAGCCACTGTAGCATGTGTCAAGCAGCCATATTGTATCCATGCCTGTTGCCAAAGCAATTGGAAGGATGATGTTGTCCATGTTCCAGATGTAATTTTCTAAAACTCAATGAGCAGCATGCAGCTAACATACTCAATGTGTTATATAATGTACTTTGATCAGCACAAAACAAGAGTGCTCTGCAACGTAATGTAGAAATACAATTATTTCTGTATAATGGGCAATGTAAATGAATTTTGTGCAGCTGAACAGTTTTTATTATTTAAATGGGCACAGATTACTAACCATAGAAGGGTTGTAGTATTCATTCAGCAGCTGTGAAAATGTAACATGTGCTCATTCATTTTTTGAATGAACAATCAAAGAATATTTGAATGTGAATATTTTCCCATAGCAATAATATTAGTAAGTGGAGAGTGCATACCTGTGCCAATTCTGCAAAATCTGTGTTAGTTAAAATGTTGAGATATTTATAATCAAAATACACACAACAATGCACAGTAATGCTTATTAACTCATAGCAGCCACAATTCTTGGCAAAAACCTACACCCTGTCAGGGAATACTATGGCTCCTTGAGTTAGGTCCAGTTAAATTCGTCATGTTGCTGTGTTGCCAACCTCGGTCAAAATGCCATGCTACTTTTCTGGAGTTGCCCAGGGTTAGAGGTGACAGGTGAGTTTGGTGATACTTATGAACCTCCCGCTGAGCACTGCCCCCCAGTAATTAAAATCTTGCCTCTACAGTATATGACTGCATTCTGCAAAGATAAAGGCTAAAACTGTTCTTTTTGTATTTGTGTCTGTACAGCAAACATTAGTTTGGAATTTCAAGCCTTCTTGGAGTCTGTGGTTCAGGTCCTATATTGTGTGCCACCTGAAAACTATTTTTGCTTGCGGACTTCCCAGCTGGAGTTGGAAACCTGGAGGGGGGTTGTTGGTAAGATCCGCCTGCCTAATCTAAATCTGTGGGTACTTTGTTATTGGAAGACATGAACTGTCCATAACAAAACATGTTAGTATGAGTATGGGTTGTAATTGTTCACAGTATCAGACACCTTGGACCAACAATCGAGGATTAACTTTGATTTCATATTATCCAACTGCTGAATATCTTAGATGATCAGCAGAAGAGAGGAGCAGGGCTGTCAACTGGTTACATCTAGAAGTGAGAGATATGAGGGATGCCAAACAAACCCAAATGCAAAGTGATAGTGAACTGGGAAGAGGCTCCTATGCACAAAGTCTGACTGGAGAAATGTTTCCTGCATCCAGAGGGAGGTCAGAGGCCATGTCCAAAGCCTCCCTTGCATAAACGGGTCTTTCTATGGCCAGAATGTCATTGGTGCCTGTTGCAGTGGCAACTCCAGAGCCCACCGTTGTACACCACTGGTAAAGGAAGTATTCAAGATGAAGGAGGCTTTTCAGGCTTCGTTGTCTCAGAGGATTGCTGAATCAACAGAAAGGCATTAAGAAGCCAGGGAGACAGCACCCTCTATGGCTTCAGGAGCAAAAACATGGGTGTGGGTGGACTCTGAGGAGGCCATGGAGAAGGACTTTCATTTGGTCTTTTGGCAAACTATTAGACCTCAGCAGGGGAGGAGAAGAGCTTACCTCAACTGGAGCTGTTGTTGAGCTGTGAAAGGAAACTTTGAAGAGCTCACAAACCCAAATGAACCACCCTCTGGTGAGCAGGAAACACTGAAAGCCTTGCTCATCTTTTTGGCGAAGATTTTGAATGCACCCTTTCAAAGTCGTGGCAGTATGGGACAGTACCTATAGACTGGCAGATGGAGATGGAGGCTTTTTTATGCTCCAGTTATTGGGATATCACACTGCTCAGCTTCCCAAGAATACTTATGCCAAAGTGCTGGCTGGGAGGTCCTGATCAGTTGTTAAACCTTATTCAGGGGGAGCAATGTGGATTCAGTCCTGCTTGTGGGACAATAGACAAGTTATTTACTCTTGCAGGAATACTGGAGGGGTCATGGGAGCTTGCCCATCCAGTAATGCATGGTATATGACTGTTTCCCTGGTGTACTGATTATGTGGTTCTGGGGCTCTTGCTATCGTGCATTCAGTCCTTGTATAATTGGAGTGAGAGCTATATTCCTGGCTGTCAAGCCTGCTCTGCACTGAGCTACGCCAAGGATGTGACATGCCATGGATTTTGGTTTTGGTTTTCATGGAAAGAATGGCATTATTCAATATTATCCAGAATAACCATGTTGTTAGGTAGTCAAACACTGAAATGTGACATTCACAGTGTAATTATAATGGTGGTGTAACTTTATTAATAACTGTAACATCTTCTACTTGTAAATACCTTGACATAATTAATACTTCATGGTGGCAAATAACAATAAAGTATAGCATTTGAATGTTAATGGAAATCAAAAGGCATCAAGAGGACAAGGTGTTCAGTATTTCATAGACATGACATAATATGAACTTTTAAGACAAGTATTTTAAAGTGCAGTTCAAGTACAATAAGGTTCTGCTTTAATTTAAACAAAACAAACAAGTTTCAACAGAGCAAAACTTGGAATGCAAAAAGATGGAGAGACCCAGTGACCTTTATCACAGAGGTGAGAGATATTAACACAAGAAAGCACAGAATAAGTTAAACTAAAGGTCTTGAAATGCTTGCCTATTCCTACTCTGAGGGGACATATTCTGTTGCATTGTATATTGTGTTGCCAATGTCACATATAAAAAAATTACTTCCCTTACTTTCTTTTAGGGCTTGCCCTTTACAATTTTCACCTAGATGGCGTTATTGCAAACTGGAAGAGTTTTAATCATAAGTTACCTGTACAAGCACTAAAGTGAAATTAACAGTGACAGTTGAGGAAATAATGAAAAAACTGAACAAACCTAAATTTCTTAAATTATTCTTTAAACTACAATAAATAAGACTCAGATCAAAACAAAATCAATGGTGAATGAACACTATCAGAACGTATCATAGTTGTAGAAACAAAGCCCTCTTCTGCATGTGTCTGTTGCAAAGTTTACTATATACAAAATGATATCTGTCAATTATGATATCTAGCTTTTAACTACAAAGGAATGGGTTTCTAAAATAAATTGAAAATTATTTGTGAATAGTGAAACTCAATAGAGAATATGTTCTACAAAATGTCATTTGAAATTAATTAAATACTCACAACCCCGGTAAAAGTTTACGGTAATTCTTGGCAAAAAAAACAAAAGTACAAGTATGGAAAAATTCAGAACCACTGTAACAACCAATGGATGGGGGAAATGGGGTGGCCCTCAGGAAAGGCAGAAGCCCTTTGTGTTTGCCTACTTTGCCCTATGCCCTACGCCAAGGGCCAGACCACATTGTTCTGTACTGCATATATGGTTGTTGAGCGCAAACTAAAACATACAAGTAACATACATACACATTCAGACAAACATACACACATCGACACCCAGACATCTCACAGTCTGTCTGGACCCTGCTAAAGGACACAGGACAGCAACTCTTGGCAGGCACTGATCATGGACAAAGACAGTCAGAGAGCTTTAGAGGGGCACATACTTTTGTTTGTCTCGTGAGTCCCTGCTTTTGGTGCGGTTGGTGCGGTTGGTGGTTGGGATAGAGTGGACGGAGGAGCTCTTCTTGCTGGAGGAATGGGACGAATGTGAAGAGTGGGAGAGGCTGGTTCGAGACTGGCCAGCGTTGTGGTCAAACTGCATCAGGCAGAATATCAGGTCAGAGGGCACCAGCTCAAACGCATATGGCGGATTTGTTATGACATACCTAGAGGAGAGAGGGAACAGATGGAAGGCCACTTCAAAATTTAGTGTAGGTAGAAGGGACTTCTTTCAGCCCTTTTTGTGGCTGTTTTGAGCATCTAAATGCAACAACACATTAGGTACGTACTCACCGTTTGGTACATTGGCTTTGAGCATTAAGATGTGCGTCTCGTAACCGATAGATGCCGAAGCACAGCATGTTGTATGTTTTCAGGGCTTTACAAAACAGGTCACCATAACAACCACCATCCTGCAAGACAAAGGCAAAAACAAAAAAACTGTAGCACACAGTCTTTATTTTAACAAAAACAACACTATAAATAAATATGAACAATATTATATAAAAAGAAATCAAAAAAGTTATTTACATGGACTAAATGCATCGAAATCCAGGCATCAAAATGAGTCCTGAACTGATTGTTGAGTCCCGTGATTGCAGATTCATCAGGAATCGCTGCTATTCATTAATGGGGGCAAAGCTAATCCGGCAGAAGCTCTGACACATGAATTCCCACCGCTGACTGATAGAAAGCTGCCTTGACAGAACTGACCTTTGAGGGAATAATGGAGGAAGCTATCATAGCTTATTAGCTGTGTTGCACCATCCAGTTTTGCTTAATTCTCCTCTGTCTGAGTATAAACTGCTCCACAATGAATCCCAATTAGGGATGGGCGGATCAACCCTGATTGATACCTCGATGCTAACAAGCTTCTCATTTGGTATCAATTCCTTTAAAAAATTATGAATAATTATATTATTATTATATATTATTTTTTTGTATAAAGGTTTCAGCATCATATGTTCAATTTAATTAATTTCTTCATTCAGAGTAAATGACACAGTACACAGAAAACAGGAAGACGCTACCGTCACTGACTAGTGCGAGCATGCTTCCAGCTTCCTTGCCAACTAGCCTTGTGACTAGTCCTCATGACACCAAGCCTCTAGTAATGTCTATTTTGCAAAGAAGCGCTGGGAAACTAATGGGAATATATTCCTCACTGATATGTATATGGATATATTTGGTTTTTTTTAATGTTATATTATATTACACGCTTCTTTTACCTGTAACTGACACTTTTTGCAGTCCATTCCCTACATGGCTGACATGACTCATATGAGCATATGAAATATATGGGGATTTTTTGTGCCAGTTGATTTATTGAAGGAGGACTGGATTAAATTAAAACTCATTATCACAGAACTCGCCTAATTTTGGGCATACAATCCCTTTTATTTATCTTATCTCTGAATCACAGCCGTCCCCGTTAGTCTCTATCCTTTCACTGAAGTCAGCTCCCACAACACTTGCAGACAAAGATGGGCTTAGCCCTTGAGTGACAAGATCAGTCACTTACCCCGAGGTCGGCAAAGGGCCCGTCGTACAAGGCCAGCTGTGCCACGCGACACCTGTCCCTGTTTGCCAGGGTTTGTGGCGTGCTGTAGCCGCCTCGTAACGCGTTCTCCTCTGCCAGCAACCCCTCCAGCTCCGGCGTCGCCCCGCCTGTTACCAGCGTCCGGATCAAGGTGAGGATATTATCATTGAAGTATGTCTGAAGGAATGAGGGTTGAGAGGGGAGAAATCTGTAAGCAAACGCCACCAAAGTCACAACTGAACCTTCTCAAAGTGCTAGCTAGGCCGAATGGTGCTATCTGTCCCAGCTCTGTTGCGTCACAATGTGTGAAAAGACAGGAGAACCCAATTACTGCAGGTTACTCTTACTCCCATCAGAGAGAGACATGAGAGTCCATGTACACATTAATGCTGTCCCGCTAAATAGCAGATTTACAAAATGAACGATATGCCATAAGATCCACTTTCCCCAGTGAAATTGTTATCTTGTTAACTCCAACCAGTTTCTGCTTTGTTGATTCTAAAAAGGGCAAATATCTGCCCTTCTCTTTGCACCACAGTCTCTTGTCTCCCTCTGCTTGTACAGCACAGTGACATCTCCCTTGGCTGCTGACAGCACTATCGACTAAAATGATGGATGAGGGCTGTCCATTAGGTAGCATTACCTTTCTCCAGACTGGAGCGCACTTGAAGGCAGCTTTGTTCTAACCTCACTCAAACTGAAAGGCAGACAAGTGAAGCCATCATACCCAGTACAAGTTCCAGTCTTGTCATCTATTGTTTTAACGTGAGCACAGAGTGCTTACATTTTTGGAAGGTGTAGAGGTATTCTGCTATCTGTCCTCATATAAAAACACGAGATCTCTTTGCATATTTCAGATCACTGACAGATATCATATGTCACTGCACAAAAACCTGTATCGTAAGCTGAATTGATTCTGACTTACAGCACTCATTAAGGAATCCAGCACACTGACTGCGAAGGCCGTCCCACAGGCAAAAGGCTGAGTGAGGTATAACTCTGTGTCTGGGTCGTCATCATCATCTTGGTCCAGGAACTGAACATTTGAGTCATTCACTATGGGGGGTAAACATGTAAATTCCATTACTTTTTTTTAAAATTTGTCATGTTAATTTTTTTGCACTACAAACCAGATCACATGGAATTATTTTGTGATTTGAAAAGCATGGATTGTCAGGCAACATCAGGCAAATACTTGATTCATGTGAGGAGGAGGAAACAAAGTAAAGTGGTTGTGCACAACAGTCAGTAGCTGCAGATATGGACTGTATCAGTGTATGGTTGAACAAATTCTTCTTAATTTCCCCTTTACAAATTTAAACACAATTGTAGTTTCTTTCTCTTTCTTTAAGCCATTTAAGAGATGAAACCGTGTCTGGTATTGTGTCTGGCCTCGTGGCCAACTTGCCTCTGCCACATTCCATATCCAGGCCATTCATGCACACTCATGACACCATGCATATTGTCAAAGCTCCAGGCCTTGATTCAAAGTCCTCCTGAAGTCAATATCAGTAACACCAATATGCCATTGTTTGTCTTGTAAATCCAAGACCGAACTTCCAATTACTTGTACTAGCATGTCAAAACAAATGAAAGTATCTCATTGCCCCAGAACCTTCTTTGAAGATGTCTCTGAGCGCAAAAACACATGCAGTAGCTGGAAGAGAGTAATGATGTAAAATTTAGTTGGAGCACTGCTACTTCTGTGAGGACAGAAATAAATGTCAGTCACATCGACAGGGCTGAGATGAAAGAAGGGCACGGGCCAGAGAATGTGATCCGACAGAAGATGCTATGAAAACAGCCACAAGGACTTCTGAGGGATCAAAGGCCTTGTAATTCTTAGAAAAATAAAAGAGAAAAATTTTGCTTTGAGATAAGGGGCCAAAACAAGACAGGCAATTTCAACCAGAACCAAGGGTAAAATGTGCTCAAAGTGATGCCATGGGAATGGACTGAGCCTCTTGTGCAGCGAGAGAAATCAAAAGAAAGCTGATATGGAGGCAGCAGCAGTTACAACACTGCAGTACAGGACAGAGGCACTTCTTACCCAGCTCAGTTATCATTTGTATGCAGGTCCCACTGCTCTTATCCTGACTGAATGAAATCACAGGCAGTTTTTTGCCTGGCTTTGCTAATGGTGCTAGACAAGTGTTGAGGAAAAACAGTTACTGGAGCATATCAACAAGGGACAAAAAAACATAAAAACTCCACTTTTAGTGCGGTTAATCAAGTGTTGACAGCTTCTAATTGCAGCAATTGTGTTCTCAGATCAGTTAACAACTACTTAACTGAAAAAAACATGCAACAGTAGAGCTAGCAGAGCTAGCATATCAATCAACTGACACAAATATGCAGCAGCAAACGTACCTAGTTCTGTTATGATGGGAATATTTGCTCCAGTTGTGACAGAAGTCTGCCGTACTAATCCATGGACTGGGCTGTTTTCAGGAGAGGATCTATCCATCCCTGGTGGTGTGAAGCCTAAATGGACACACGTAACAGAAGAACATCTGTTAATGCAATATTCAATACATCATCAGAGGATACAAACAGGCATATCAGCAGAACTTATACGCTGGGGCTATTTCATCCATTTCCCGGCTCCTGCTAAAGCATAAAGTTGCTGAGTGCGATGTTACCATATTCTTGACAAGGTCCAATATTAGTCCATATATAATAGATGTGACATACTGCTCATTTTGTTTTCCTTAGATTGTGTGTGCATAGAGATGGAAACCTTTTACACACACACATACTCAAAAGCATGTACAGTATGGAGCAATGAAATAGAAAATAAGTGACGCAAGATTGAATTCAAATTGACTTGACATTCCTTGCTTTCCTCAGACTGACAAGTAAGCACATTAAATCAGTGATGCTGTATGTATTATACATAGGCCGTGTTTTGACATCCATCACTTACTGCTGACTAAGGCAAATGCGAGGTCATACATGTATTAGAGAAATAATGAAATTGGCAGGGATTTTTTTTTCTTTTTCCTCAGGTCAAAAGGTTTCTAAAAGCATTTCTCTCAATGCCAAAGAATGACCATTATTGAAGGCCATCTCAAGCTAACTGAGTGCTTCAGTTGCTGTTTTGAAAGCTGTGACATGCAATATTCATAAATTATACACATTATATATATATTTTTTTACAAAGCAGTCCCAAGTGTAAGGCAGGTGAGGCTTTTGTGCCAACGCTGTGCTTCTTGCCACCAATTAGGTTTGTGAAGAAACCAGTTGTTACAGTAACCTGAGGAATAGTCAGTAGGGTTTAATGTCAAATGCAGTGACACCAGGTCAGCCAGGCAGCACCCAGTGAGGGATATTCTCTGTGCCAGGGCCCTGTCCCTTCCAGCCGGTGCAGTGAACTATGATAGGGCGCTCCTTACCTTGGGAATTAGCCTGCAAGACCCCGATGCTGTCGTCAAACAGCATAGATTTGATGTTGAGTGACGCCAAGATGCATTCTTTGTCCTGCAGTGATGCATCGTCAATATTGTTCTGATTGGCTGACAGGATGACACACATGTCGCAGAGGTTGATGTTGACAGCCCTCAGATCTGCCCGACTCAACGGTGTGCCCTTTGAGAGGAAGTGAAGGAGGGAATTTGTTATCTCACCTGTATGATATAAGAGGTAAATGAAAATGTAGCAACTTTTAAATTGCAGGTCTCCTCCTTCAAACTTATCTCAACCCTGTGTCCTACAAAATACTTTTCTACGCTGCTAAATTACTTTGACAAATAAGAACAAGAAGAAGAGAGGAATCAACTTTATTGTCATATACTATAATTCACAGTGCAACGTATAGTGACATTTGTCCTCTGCATTTAACCCATCCTAAGCAGTGAGCAGTGGGCAGCCACTGTGCAGCGCCCAGGGACCAACTCCAGATCTATCTAACTGACTGGAGAAATTAACCTAATAGGAATTTTTTTTTGATGGTGGGGGTAACTAAGAGCACCCAGAGGAAAAACCCACACGGAAATGGAGAGAAAATGCAAATGCCCACACAGGAAGGCCCTGCCCCAGCCGGGAATCACCCAGGACCTTCCTGCTGTGAGCCGACAGTGCTAACCGACGAGCCAAATATATTCTGAAGGAAACTCATTTGCTGCCTCGATTAATTCATTGGCAAAATTCAACGAAAGCAATATAAAGACTTAATGTCCTGCGTCCCACGTATTGTTAGGTTTAGGCTACTAAAAACAATTGGTTAGAAAAATTATGTTTTATGTTTTTTTTTATTAAATAATAAAACTGTGCTTTAGTTGCCAGGAGTGAATATTTGAAGTAAAACACATGAAATAAGTTGCCAGTAAACATTTGGCTTTTGAAATTTTGACCTGATGATGGCTCTGAATAAAAGGTTAAGGGATCACTTAAAGCAGTGCTTCCCAACCTTTTTCCTTAAGGGACTCCTTTTCTATAATTTTGGTAAACTGACAACCTCTGCTTAAGTGACATATTCTATGGATATTTTAGATTATATTCAAAACTGTACAGTAAACCCAAATAGTGAACTCAGTAACTGCAAGGTATTTCAGTCCGGACCAACCAGCATTACGTTTGCTACAAAACATATTTGCAGGTATAAATTAGTTACATATGAATGTAATTTTTAGACAGGGGTTGTTTATTTTGTCAAATATGTTGTCATATGTGATGTCATTGTACTCACAGGTAAAATGGAGACCTTTGGGAAATTGTGAAGTGTCTCCCACTCCCGCTTCAGATACTCCAGGGAGCCGACAAACACGATGTGCTTCAGCTCGTGGTAGTGAAAGTTGCTCGCTCTCAGTGGCATGACAAAGTTTCGGAGACCGATCAACGCAGATTTCACATCTCCAAATATACACACGACCACATGACCACTCAGAACAGTCATGGCTGCCTCGCTCCGGGTCTGACAGGGAAAGAAAGGGGAAGAAGAGACAAAAAAAAAATTATGTTTGTCATAAACTGCCTTTTCAAGCAAATGTTAGTGCTTTCTCTTCTTTCAGTTTCCGACTCAACCAGCAAAATATATCATGCATTTTATGACTGTAATAGACTATGAAGGTAATTTGAAAAATGGCATATGTATTAGTACAAGAAATGTTCTATGTACAGGGCCCCCATATAGCAAATGACATGTCAAACACCTCATTACAAAGTGTTTAAGTGCCCTGTCAACCTCTGATGGTGCTTTGTGACATGACACATCTGTCACCGGGAAGAAGAGTGTCAGGGACAAATGACGTGTGCCGAGTAAAGCAGCAGAACCCACCAAGATGACCTTCTCGATGTCTTTGGACGGGCACCAGTGAAACATCCCCGTGGAGTCGTATTTTTTTACGTTCTCATCCATGTTTTCAATCTGGTCGTTCCCCGGGATGAGAAGCGGGTCATGCCTAATCAAACAAAAAGAGGGGAGGAAGGAAATGAAAGAATACCGTCAGGCACTGTAAATGTGGATTGAATAAACTAGGAACTGGGTTTTGACTAATAGAGCAAAATTAGAATATAATGCTGAGAGATTTTTTTTTAATACAGCACCTTTCAAAATAAAATTAAGATGATTTACATCAAGAGTATTTCAAGATTACAAGTGATCGTAACAAGAGGAGTAAATCAGTCAATAAAACAAATTACAAAAATCTAAATAAAGGACTAAAATAATGGAACAAAAAACTTTTTTTAATTGTCACAAACATTCATCAATAGACCATCAAAATATTTAGGGATCTCCAAACAAATCAGTTGTGCTCAAGTTGCTTTCTTCTTTTTTTTTTCCCTCTTTGCTCAATCCTGTCAGAGGCCATCTGCAGAAATGCCAACAAAACTGCCATGTCATCAAGCAGAGTGACATCAGCAGCAGCAGCCAGGCGGAAGGAGATGGCAGCAGCACACTGCGTTGACTGGCATGAGCACGGAGATGCAATTACGCCCCCTTACTGCATACAGCTTTTGACGTAGTGTGCTGCGTGGTAAAAGCTTTAACAGACCAGACTTTAAATATTTCAGCAATTTGCCCAATCATATTTGCTTTTCAAAGTGAAGGGTATTAATGTTTAAACAGAGCATCAGAACTACGTAAACTAATTTCACTGAGCATAAGCTTCATCCTCCCCAACGCTGACCACTAAAGTCTCCTGACATGAGTACCTGCGGTTGTACCACGCTTCTTTTTGTCCGAGTTATTTGATCTTTTGAGTTCCTAGAGATATATTAAAATATAAGATAATTGTTACCAAAAACACCAAAAAATCATAAATAATATTATATAATATTACAATTAAATCAATTCATTTATTTGCAAGAAAAAACAAACACTAGTACATTCAGATGAAACATATGTATATATAAAAATGTCTAAGATTATACAGAAATGCATGTTCATAGCCAAACTCAGGTACTATTGTCTAATGTTAGTCTGGTACTCATCAAAACATTTGTTCATGTATAAGGCTATTTTCTTGAACCACACCTCAGATTTTTATTTGAAGCATTTCAATTTACCCAGCTTTTAGCCCAAAAATGTAGTTTTGTGCTAAAGTATTACTACTGTAACCAACTTAAGTCATTTCCCATCTATCCATTTTCCAATCTCTCTATCACTGTTCAGGGGCTATAGCCTATCCCAGCATGCATTATGAGAGCAGCAGAGCATATGCTGAGTAGTCTATCACAGGGTCAACACACACAGATAAAGTAGAAAGAAAAACACATTTAGTAATTAGGACTATGCCATATAGCTGATATCAATTTCATGATTTTTACAGATATTCTTCTGATATATGCAAAATGATACATAAAATAAATGCAATGCAAACTCTTATAAAATACCTAATATAATATTATATAATATAATATACACAGTAATAACTAATATTAGTTAGAGAATTACATTTTTGCTAAAAGTTTGTTTGGAATCATTCATTTGGAATTAATGATCATCCAGCTACAGTGGCAACAGTGCTACCTACGGAGGCTGTGTGCTGCCAAACACAGACTCAGATCAGAGCAGAAGATATTATCTTCTAAAACACAGACATAAGCCTTCTGTCTCTGTCCAAAACCTTTTAAATACTTACAAGTTTTCTCCCCGTAAGAAGAGCATCTCTTTAATCCATGTGAGTACTTTAAAAGAAGGCTACTTTAAGTAACATGTTAAGTTTGCATGAAAATGTCGGCTGAAACTACCATCCCTCGGGCTCCAAGAGACTGAAGCCAAAAAAGCCCGCCTTGGGCTTGTATACCCCTAGGCAAGACCTGGATGTCCTTTCAAGAATGGAAGTAGTGGGAGAAGGAAATGTATTTTCTGCCACTTTCTACCTCTCAGAATTTCATCTGTCAAAGCAATTCTCATTTGAAAGGACACTGTGCGCACATTAAAATATGTAGGTGAAAGTATGTAAAATGTTATTTTAAAAGTATAAAACGCTGGAAATATTACCTAGTTTATTAATATAAAATATATAAATATTGCTGAAAAACACATTGAAACTTTAAACCTTATTTCAGTGTAGGGATCCAACTAACTATTCATTAATGTTGATTATTTTTGCAATTAATCAGTTTATTTTAAAAGTCCAGTGTGTAAGATTTAAGGAGGATGAATATTAATACAATGTAACATAGATTTATGTATCATCTGAAAATAAGATATAAGTTTGTAACCTTAGAATCAGCTGTTTATATCTACAGACACCACCGGTCGAACCGCCATGTTTCTACAGTAGCCATCACTGCTAGATGGCACTAAATGTAAATGTAAAATGTATGTCTGTAACATGTCTATAGTCTAAATCTATACAATTGCTTATTTTGTCTGACCAACAGTCCCAAAAATATTCAATTTAACATTATATAAAACATAATAAAGCAGCCAGTCCTCACATTTCAGAAAACTGTATGTTTGATGTTTTTACTTGATAAATGATGTTGTTAATAAATGTCCTGTAAATCAACAAACTCAGCACTATTTATCGATGACAATCCTCTTAGATAACTCGTTGTACTCTGCATCATCGGCTTCTGCTTGAGTCTGAAATTCAAGTTCTAATAACAGTGAAAGCATTTAGTGGTTTTACACCTCGCCTAAATATTTCATCAGAAGTGGAATGTTTCACCACTCACTCAGTGGAGCTCCTGTCACTTCAGTTTGTCCTTGTGGAGATGACTGGTGAGGCAGAGCTCTGCCAGGATAGCTATCGCTCACTGTCAGCCATGACGGCCTGTCACTATCCTGCACTGCCAATTGCCTCAGCAGTGCCGTAGCAGACATGACGTGCATGTCACGGCGTGGTCCGATGTGACCGAACGCGTTGTGACATCCCACAATTAGATGTGTCTTATGACCCATCAAGGAGCCTGTGGAAATGGTGTTAATTTCAGTGAGGTCGTCATTGCTAAGTTCCAGACAGGACGTGTTAGTTTGCTGATACATCTGGAAACAGGAGACAGTTCTGCTTCCACAGCTGATTGCTTTCTTCTTTTGTGCGGTTCGTTTCATTACACAGAGCAGAGGCGTCTGTGAGTGTCATCTCTGTAAGCGCACTTCTAAACATTCAAAATGATCAGCAGCATAATTCACTGCTTTAGTAGTAAGATGACACGTTTGACAAGACTTCACACGTCATGACCGCCAAACATAAAGCCAGGTGTCTTCTAGAGGAGCGTAATGACAGCTGAGAGAGACATAAAGTAGAAGCTAAACATGCATATTATGTAAATTTTCTATTTCAGCATCACTGCACTAGCTGACTGTAACACTGTACAAGCAGTGAGGACAGGCAAAGTCTTTGAAAATCCTCCCTATCATGCAAACTGACAAAGGCTTGCTCTTCAAAACCCACAGCCAATCTGTTGATCATTACTTATTTACAAAGGCCTTGAGGCCGCAGATCCTATAAAAACACATTTGATATAGTATACACCAAGATGTTTTTTTCTCCGCTTGTTGCAATGAAGTATCCCTTAGGCTACCGCAGCGAATCCCTCAGCAGCGTGTAGGCAGCAGATACGGTGGATGAAATAACACATCCACCTGTATTGTAGAGTGTATTACCATGGCAAGTAGATGGATTGGTTTGGTGGGATGATATTTAGCTGATGGCTATAGCATTAGAAAAAGCCTGGTTTTGTTACCCAAGTGTCTGGAAATTACCTGGAGCGATTCAACTTTGACACCACTTTGAACCAAATCAAATGATCAAACAAGGGCAAACGCCTACCTGAAAAAAGAGAGGCCATAGATCAAAGGAAAATGCTAAATTAGACGAATAAAGACTCCTACATATAATAGAAAGCCATTTTTATTTTACTACTCTGTTATATTTCTTACACATATTGAATCTCGTAGTGTTAAACAATACAGACATTTGTGGGTTTCATTTCTAAATGTCAAATGAACAGCATCTATATTAACAATGGGAACATAAAGTCATCTGTCAGTTTTAATTCAATTTCATCTGTACAATTCCACTTTGTATACGTCAGGCTGCAGGACTTCCCTGTAGCCTTGCTTCCTTCTAACATGGCACTTAATGACAATGACTATTACTATTATCATCCCTGTAATGGCCTCTTGTTGAATAACAGTGTTATCTCCAGTCAAAATCAATAAGCTGCGATTTAATTTTATGGGACAAGATAAAAGCAAGGTAGCATTTGAATTCACCTTTCATTGTGATGATACATATCATCTGTGGCCTTACGTGCTGAGAAGAGCTCAGAGGGATACGACAATAGATGAATAGCCTTGGGCTATCTATCCTTTAGAGCCTCTCTGACTAGCTGGTGCTGTCATTAGTGCCAGGCCTGTTTAAGAGCTGTAGTCTGTGGGTGTCACTTGAAACCTCGTGGCAAAGAGCCTCTCTGCAAGTCAGACATGTTTGCCAGGAAAACAAGAGCACAAAAAAAATGCCTTGTTCTTTTTTTTAATACATACTATTGAATCCGAGAGATTGATAACTTGATAACTGAAGATTGATATCGATATTTGAGAGAATGCCAAAAACTATATGTAAATTTGGATTTGTTTTTAATATGAACACATAATAAAAAATATTTTGGATAAATATCCTTTTTTATTTAACAATAGGTCAAATGAACCAACAGAGGATTACCATCTAACTCTGCAGCTCCCCTTAGCTCTACACAACATTTTATCATCTTTCAGCATATTGTTTTGGTGTTCCAACCACAACTTGGTTTTTGTTTATTCTCAATGCCCTTATCAACCCAATTTCCAGCCACATCACGGACAGACACAGTTAGCAACAAAATCGTGAACATGATGGAACATTTAGCAGCTAAAGAGCCAGAAATTTCCCTCAGGAGTTGGTGGAGACCAAAAACAGAGTTAAAAGGAGAGTAAATATTGGACTAACATGTGTTGGGGTAACAGAAACACGACTTTAAATTCATTCTAATGTTATCCCTGTTGTGGATGTATATACACAGTATAGGCAACTGTTTGTTAACACATTCAATAATCTTAGTGTTTTGTTTCCAGCTTGATGTGCTGCCCCCAGGTGGCCAAAAAAAACAAACAGTTGATCCAGGTTTAAATTTGATTATTAAATAATGTTAATATGTTACAATGTATACTGAATCAAAACACAGTAAGATGAAGCAGAAATTATATTGTTGTCCTACCTCATTATCTTGGGTGAAGAGTTTGGAGAATTTCTCATTCCTCCATTACGTTGCTTTTTTTTAGGCGATAACGCCGACTGTTGGTCCTCTTCAACTGAAACAAAAGGTAACGGTATGAGGGAGCGAATTATCAGAAGACTCGCAAAAATCTAGAAATCAGTGACAGAAGAACAACACAGCACGATTTTGAGGTCAGTGAATTCAAAGAGATAATACGGTTACAGAGACAGAGTGGAAAGAGAGGTTGGGTGAACAAGATGGCGTGGACAGGACACTTTAACTAGTGTGCAACGGAAACAGTCCAATGTTTGCATGATGACGACAGGATACATTAGCACAAGAGTTGCATGATTGTGTATGAAGATGCAAACATGCAATAGTGCCATCATCAACCATCATGCCAATAGCTAAAGTCTAATCTGTGAGGTTTTATTCACCACACTCTAATCCAGCGAATTGCAGTAATCCACATGTCAACAAGTTTATAATTTAGATAATAATGAAGTACCACAAATACATCAAAGGGTATTAGGATACTTTAATTTTTCAGTCCCTTGTTAGTGTAAATTTCCTCAGACCTAGGCTTGGATAGCTTCTCATTTGGCCATGCTAATCACTCACAATCTCATTTAATTAAGGTAATAACGTATAAACATCAAGCATCCAACATTATAAATAAGGCTTCTTTTGTGCCAATACTGAGTCCAGTCTGGATTGCTGGTCTTTCTTCATCTTGGGAGTGATGCCCTTGGCTCATATAATTAGCTTGGTCCTCGTGCCAGAGTGATTTATGTACAGCTGAGATGCCCCTTGGACATTGTCTTTATCACTACACGAAACTACACAGCTCTTCATAGGGAACGAATTACAGAATTAAGTTTTACCCTCGAGTAAAGCAATCAGGAAAATATTTTCACGAGCTAATATCACAGTTGAAGAAAACAACTCTACTCTGTAGCAGTTGCTGGTAAAATAAACACAAGCAACACGGAATGTGTTTTTGATAATCGCATTTTAACAGCCATTGTTAATAGTGGGAATAGCTTGTTACAGGTCAGGGAAAATACGCTTGAGTATCTTTTAATGATGGTTCAAGCTGTCAACAGGTTTTTTTGTTTTGTTTTTTCACAGAGAAACTAAAAGAGCTATAATCAAAATGAAAAAAAGTATCAAAGATCATGCTCCTCTGCAGATGAACACAGGATTTCACGTACTGATAGCATGTCTTAGAGTGACACCATAATGGAAAATGTTGAAGTACGGGGGGCTTTCAGTGGAGAGGGATGCTCCAACACACTGGCCCTTCACATCTTGCTCGGCCTGTTCAATATTTAATGTTTCACAGCTGACAGCTGCACACACTGGGTCATTAGTAAGGAATGCTACACATGCAACCACTCCAGCCTGGCAAGCACATGCTTTGGTTGCGCTGTAGATGAGAACAGGCCTGCCAAACACGCCAAGAGGAGGGGGGAGGCGGCCCTTACAGTGCCTGTGACTGAGTGTGGCGTTATTGGAGTGACTGGGGTGGTATCTGTATTTCACTGGAAGGCTACGTGCCCGCTGGAGCCGGCTTGCCTCTTCTGCCACCCCTGGTAGCCGGCACACCTGGCCCAGGTCCCCGGAGCCCATAAAGCTCAGCCTCAGAGCAGAGGGCTCAGCGGGGGGCAGTAGGCTTCCCTTGCGGTTGTTTACCAGCGGTACAGACACAGCAGCAACTCCGCTACAGGGCCCCCTACAGACCTCGCTGGTCGAGTTGTGGTTCAGTTTAGCTGACTTGTATTGATATGTTGATGACCGGATTAGGGGACCCTCATTTACTGCTAAATGAAAAGGAGTCAAAATCAGGATTTGTACAATGAAATTTAATGGATTTTTACCTTTTTTTTAAAGAGTCAATTCACCCAAATCACAAAGAGAGTTTTTGAGATAGTGGTCTAAGATTCAGCCTCATCCCAATACAATGGAGGTGAATACAATTTCTATGTAGTGTTCACAACACTGAAAAATTACTTCAGGCCTTTTTTTTTTTTCATTGGAACTACTTTCTACTGAAGAAATGGTTACGTGACTGTTTATAGTATGTTCTTTAGATTATTCAAAGTAACTAGGGTTTTTTTGTTTTTAAAATGAGACTTAGCTGTTAATTGAATTAGTTTTTTTGATGTTGGATGTGAGCACCACAAACACAATTCAGTTCACCTCCATTGTGTTGGGTGGGGGCAGAAATGTCAGATACTGAAACAATCTGCATGAGTAGATACCACGAGGGGAAGTTATAAAATGCTTGCTTTGTGATTTGGGTGAACTAACCCATCAGGTCTTTACATTAACCACAAGATATGATTTGATTTAAACTGACTTCAATAAGACCTGCAGTGTGTATGTTAATAAAACATCTTGTGACTCTTATCATAATTAAAGCATAATCGCTGGTTTTTGGGGGTAATTCTTTCTGGCACAAGAATGCTAATAGCTGAATAATTAAAAACCCTCATTTTTATTAAACACCACTTAACCACTTGGTATAGCCACCAATGAAATGCTGGATTTGACATTCGCTTTGATATTTATAATAAACATGAATTAATAAATATGCTTTCAGGTGTTGCAGCGATTGTTATGCCATAAGAACAAGGAGGTGACAATGTGAATTAACAACCACTAGCTGCTGTATGCAGTTTATGCCTGATGAGGGAGGAACAAGCTCGTATCCACTTGACTATTTGAAATGTGAAAGCTTACTGCTGCACTAGAGGTAAAACTGGTAAAGATAACATAATACATAGACAAAGGAAAGCAGAGGAAAAGTGTTCCCCTTACTCCAAAAAATGGCTAGGAGCTAAAACTGGAGAATAGAGATGATTATTTCAACAGTCAGCTGTCTAGCAGATTATCCTCTCTGCTCCAGACCTCCACTATTCATCTGCCCCATGTCAAACATGCACAGCACTTCCCCGGGACAACACATTGTGGCAGATTTGCTGCCTATCACAGATCCTGTTAGAGTGGACGGCCCACGTTGTTCACACACGAGAACTGAGAAAATATTAGACTAACTCTTTTTTTAATGGCTCCTGTCTGAATCTCCATTATAAATTCTTGCATACATTTACTCTAAATGTTGTATTTTTCAGCTGTACACCACACAGTGAAGCAGTAGCACCATCTACTGCTGAGCTGTAACTGATACCCAACACAAACCACTCAGAAACATTTTTCCTAATGCTTTGCATATAAAATATTATGATGGATGATGATAGACTGGACAGAGTGATGAGCAGCAAACAGTGAAATACAGCAGGTTAGAGACAGTTCAAGTGATGATAGCTGAGAATGCACAAGTGGAAGGGTTAGAAAAAAATGACAAGAGAGAGAGAATGGAAATCAAAACTTACTTGATTTGATATATCCATTATAGCTATTTTTAGCTGAGAAGAATGCAGAGACAGATGAGAGGTTACAGAGAGGAACAGGTTGTAATGAAAGCAAATAATAAATGACAACTGGGAGAACTGAGATTTCTCTTTAAGGCACTTTAATAAAAGGATGGTGCCTTGAAGACAACATGGACAAAGCAATGAGAAATAAAACGGGTCAGTTAGAAATATGATTTTTAGCCATGTGGTCAGTAAGCTTTAACAGAGGATCGTTGTCAGTGTTTGTAGGCGGTCACCTGCTGAATATGAACAGTCATGTTTGAAGTGTTACAGTGAGCACGTTTGGTGATTTGCAAGTCAAAAGGCATCTAGATGTTGGGGTTAAACCTGGGCTAAATTTGGTTAGAGAGACATTATCGATTAACTGTTTGGTCTGTAAAATGTCAGAAGATAGTTTAAAATGTCTGTTGCCATTTCATAAAGCCCAGGCTGATGTCTTCATATAGCTTGTTGTGTCCGATCAACAATTCAAAATCCCAAAAAGGAAACATTAAATGATTATCAAAATAGTTGCAGATTCTGCTGATTGACCAATCAATTAATCGGCTAATTGTTTCAGTTCTATCAAGGTTACATATAAGCAACCTTAAATGACTACGGATCAATGTGAAGAAGGTCTTTACTACAGCACACATTGAAATATAGTCATTAAATTGCTGTTTAACCTTGATGCCTAAAAATGTTAACCATATTTAGCCTGGTTTTAACTGGTCAAGATGTCTTTTGACATGGAAATCATGTGTGCTCACTATGTAGACCTGCATTAACATTTGTCAGGAGGTATGCATGTAACAAGGCTTACAATATGTGACAATACTGCATGTGTTCTTGTTCATAAATAAATAGTATTGGGTTTATTTTTTCTCCTCTTTCCAAAAAGCTGTTTCCCATTCGTCTGCACTGCCTGACACAACCTACACGGATGCATGGAACTTTATGTGAGTCACTTTTTGGAGCCGTGAGTCCCACACATGCTCATTAGTACCTTATTTCAACCCCTTGCTTATAATAAAGGTCATGCATTGAGCTTAAGGCAGGACAGTGACAGCAATGTTCAAACAGGGACCTTGCTGGTCCTGGCATCTGTCGCCTGCAATCGGAGGGCGCGAGCAGAGTCACAGGACTAACAGGCTAGCATCTGTCCCACAACGAGAGAGTAGGAGAGGGGCGGGGACACTCGGCTGCCTGGTGGTTAGAAACTGTCAGGCTGAGTTTCATGACAACCGGTAGCACTCCAAAAATGAAAATGCAAACATAATTTCCATGTCAGGCCGTATAAGGCCTCGCTCTGCGCGTCTCCCCGCATCGTGTCGACAGCAACTGCGGAGCTCTGCTTGAGCTTAGCTAGCCGGGCGGTGCTCACAGCACACAACCCTGGAAGACATGTTGAGGGGTGGAAATGCCCAGAGATGTTCAACTATACACAGAATGGTCTTTGATCAAGAAACATTCACTAAAACTGTATGACAGTCTACAATGTTTTCCAGCAAATTGTATCAACGCTCTGCGAACTCAGACACATTCTTCATGTCTTCTGCGATACATCAGTACAATTTAACATGCCCTCTGGCTTTAAAGGGGAATCACACTTGAATTAAGAATTCATACTGTATGAAGCTTAATGGAGTTCAGGTTGATTCACTAAAATCCAATACGATCCAACATTATTTCATTGTGTTCTGTTCATCTTATTGTACAATTCAATCAATATCATTCATTCATATCAATATCACGAGACTGAAAACTTAAAGCTAGTAATCCAGAGCTTCTCCATTGGCATGGAGTAGGGCACTGGTTTGTGTACTGAATGTGTTTAGGAGATTTTACCCCCAGTGGTTGTTCAAGCTTTGATCTTAATTTAATAAAACCAGTACATTAACCTCAATATGTACTGCTACCCTCAGAAAATCCCCTCAGGAGCTCTTAAAACCGCACTTTTTTAAATTAATTGTCAGTTGCGTTTATACATAGAAACATCTCAAATCCTATCCTGTTCACCCATTTCTGGAGGGTACAGTAGTGAAATATTTGGGTTATTCTTGAACTGAAGTTACCCTCTCCAGTGACATCATTATAGCGCTTGTACACTCCTATCAAAACACCTAATTTGAAGAAATGCATGCAAATTCTCCACCAGGATTCCCAAGTTTAAGTGTGCATCAAGAGATTTGTGGAGGGGATGCACAGCTGTACATTTTTCATGGCCTCAGCTTCAATTTCTTGGAAATATGTTGGCGAGGTCACTGGAGGGGGAAGCACAATAATTTTCAGGGAAGAACTAGTTTTCACACTCTGCAAAAATTTAGCACTAGTGACCGTTGATCTAATTTAAACTACAGGTCAATTTGAATTCACATTCTCGGACAAAACACCAGCAAAACAGTCTACTGGCATGCTTCACGACAGTTAAAAGTCACCTCTAAAAGTAGCAACACAGGCAAAGCAACATCTATATCCATGACGTAACAACACAGCTGCTAGAGATAGACGGCACACACGCTAAAGACACACTGTACGGTTAACCTAGTGCATGTTACAAACACTGAAGAGCACATGTCATGGCGACAACTTACAGGCACGTAAAGTGGCTGAGCAATCATTAACAGAGACAGCAGAGAGTGGGATGTCGCGTTGAGGGGAGTCCATGTTACAACGCACATTAACTGGCATGCAAGAGCAGTCCCGCTCTGAGCGGCCGCAATCAAAACAACATGCCAGTCTCATTTTCTTGTAGGCGGCCATCTTGGCTACAGTCACAGGTTCAGACGAGAGGAGAGGAAGAGCAGGTTAATGTTGAGGGTCGTTCTGGAGGAAGAGTGGACAAAGGCAAGACAGGGCACAGAGGAAGGCTGCTGCTGGGATACACAAGATAGTCTTGACAGTGTGCAAATGTCAGATTAGGAATTTAGAATTTTTTCCACTTTTTTGTGGTTTATTACGTTTGGGTCATTTCTGGGACTAGTAGGGAAAATATCACAAGGTCATAAAGTCTTGTGGTTTTGGGGTAAAGATGTGAAATGAGTGGGGGTGGGAGGATAGGGCAGGTCATTAACTTCTTCAGCAGCATAAGAAACAATAATACCCATAAGTTCCCTCTTGACTTCACCTCAACATGACCCCTACAAGCTCACTGTATGTCCGCTATGTGATGAGACATGATTTGAGCATATGTAAACATTTTACATCTCTTAAATATTTGTACGAGTTTCTAATTGTAGTTTAGGATTCAAACGCTAAGGCAAGATGGCAGACATTTCTCTAACAAATAGGGAAAAAAAAGAAAAAGTGCCAGTGTCTCACATACAACAGTTTTCTGGCCTTAGATAGATCTGTAAGTGCATCCAGAAAGGGCGAAAACAAAAATGACAAGTTCCACTTCCACCAACTGTATTAGGTCATAAATTCATTTGACATTCTCAAGTAACACAACAACTTTGCTGTTTGTCCCAAAACATTCTTGATATCAGATGTGCTGGGAAAAACTGTGCAGTCACCTCAGTGAATTACATCGTTTTGGGATGTGTGTCAAATGACTTATTCCTTTTATCAAAACCATTCAAAGGAAATGTTCCTCATCCTGGTGGCTTTCTAGCTGTGCTCTTCTTGCAGGAGTATTGTGTTTGTCAAAGGACTGTGAGGACATCTGGTGGTGATCTGGAGTACTGCTAACTCAAGCAGGCATGAATGAAATCTTCAGGTTATAATACTTTTTTGGCATTTTCCTTATAAAAGAATAAATGTGGTTAGGTATTATGATAGTAATAGTCATTTTTGTTGAATTTGTTCCTCAATTTGCTATGTGCACATGACAACGTAGGGGGATCCAGGCAGCATCAACCATTGTACATGCAACATTTACAGTACATTCAAACAGGTTGCTTCAATCGGGGGTAGCAGGCTGTGTTTTTGGAAGGGAAATGAATCCACATTACTCACAATATATCACTATAAAGTGAATTTTTAAGGAAAGTGTGTCAAATTCCCAAGCAGCAGGAAGAGAATACATCAAATATTAAGATTAGCTGTTAGCTGTAATGGTTAAGACAAGACAAACTGTATCAAATCCAAGTGAAAGAGCAACAACGTGAAACATCGTGTAAAGTTTAAAGTCTAGAAACACATGATCCATTCAGGTACCTGTAGTGTTAACAGTCTCTCTGAATGCCTGTTAACATCACAAAGTTATCAATGAACTGTTAAAAGCCCAGACAGCTATTATACAAAAGAAAACATAGCAATCATCCACATGATACAGACACAATGAACATTTAAACTGTATTCACAGGTTAATTAGGTTGATTTCTCACTTGTCAGTTCATCTATAATAGGGAATCAAATGGAAAAGAGAATAGGCTATACATGCTGAATCATTCTCACTATCATCTGATCTTGTCCATTAGAAACGATGTCTACCTGAGAAACTATAATACTTACAGAATCAGTTCACCCAAATCACACACTGAAAAAGCAGAGAATGTCTCAAAACTTCAGCACATACAAACACAACTCTGCGTCAATAGATAGCAGCTGAAATCTGTGTTCTGTAATGTGGGTGAACTGACCCTTTAATGAGGGCAAGTATTTATGTCAGACAGAGGCCCAAACATGTAGTATTACAAGGGAAACTTGGAGCACACCTGTTTGTTTTGGCTGCGGAAAGAAATCCAATGACCTTTCTTCATGCACAAGTTACAAGGTTTCAAGAAATGAATAATTAATGCAGGAACTAAGTGGTTTGGACACATGGCTATGTAGGTCATGTAAATACACCATCACACTACTGACTGTTAACTCCATGCTGTTTCACTTTAGTCTGTGAAGAAATGTTAATGAAGTCAAACAATGTTTTATATGCAGTTACTTACATTTCTTGCATCCACATTTCTTTATCCTTTTAGGATCAGTAATGTCATCGTGGCAGGCTTTACAGTAAAACAGCGCCCTGTGGAAGTAAAACAAGAATCCCATGTAAGCTGACTCATCTACATATGAGGTTGTGTCAAACATGCTCAAATAACACATTTACAGACATTTTATCTTCACTATGTCTGCAGCAAGGAGTTCCAGTTTGCTTGCAATCACTATGGAATACTACTACAGAAACGTCAACCTGTCTTTGAGACTCGCCCTGACCCAAGCAAAGTACAGATGCAAGCAAACAGCTAACATCATCATCTAACAACGTGTGAAGTGATCTAGCATTGACAGATTGCAGCATGCCAAACAAACAAGGCTCCTCAGCTTCAACCTAGCAAGCCACAAAACATACTACTATCACCAGCTAACGTAATCAGCTTACAAAAAACAGTCAGCAACCAGCAAATGTAAGCACTGCAACATGCTGCCTAACCCACCAAACTAACCAAACAATACTACACTACAGTAATGGCAATAATATATTTCTATTTATAACAGTTACTGTGTTTTTTTCTACAAAGTCAAGAAGGCAGAACACCTCAGTAATAAACTTATACAGCCCTCCTATGAACTGCTTACATTCTTATAAAGTGTAGGCATGTTATCTTATTCCCTTTTTACCTACATTTATAACTCAGATGAAATAATGTAGGATAGAGATGCTGTATGGCATGATGGCTGATGCAACAGAACAGGAAAAAAACAGCATGAAATAACAGCAAGACTTTACTTTTACTACCATTTAATTGCAGGTCGCACTCTTTACCTCTTTACTTCTTTGGCATCGCTGGCAATAAAGAAGCCCAAGGTCCCCTCCTGCATTTTCACGTGGTTTCCAGGGTTTATCAGGGTGCTGCAAGGATTTATAGACCAAAGATGTCACGGCGGAAAGTTATATCACAGAATTTGCAAGGCTTTGCACTAATCACTGGCAGTGGCACACACTGGCAGGATTAGTTTTTCGCAACTCATTTGGCAGGATAGCCTCTGTTTATTAAATTAAGTTCATGAAAGCAGATAGCAGTGACACTTCAAATGGTATAAACTGAGCATCAGTGCATCGGAGAAAACACTAAAACAAGATTTAGCTGTGCTTAAAGAAACCAACTGGAACCTTTGCCATTAATTTGTCAGGATGTTATCAGAAACGCTTGTGATGTCTGTGAACAAACCAATTTAGACACCAATTTAGCACATTTTGTAGGGCGCCTTGTGTTTGCAGTCAAACAGAGAAGTGGATTCAAAGTAGCTCCATCACTGAAAGCAAACACTGACAGCAAACACACCTGCGTATTTAAGTTTTTGCATCCATGAATTTTAATGGCTTCAACAATCCACTGTGAGCACATTCACTTACCTGCTTTCCCTTTGATCAGACTTGTATTCTATAGCTATCAGTAGTAGTTTTAGCTTCACATAGCAGAGTCTGCAAAAGAGAATAATGATATAATTAGACCTCATGCAGGCTAAATATTTGTAGTTTTCTTAAAATCATCACCTTTGGCACCTTTATCTTCTTTGAGGTCGGATTTATAATTCCTGAGTAATGCACACTTGTTGTCTTTTTTTCTTTGAGTCTTCAACTCACAAATCCAGTATTTGAGAAAATAATTATTTTAATTATAATATTTAAATATGGTAATTCAGGGACTTTGTAGAGAAATGGCCAATGAATGTGGTAATGGTGGCTTTTTTTTGTAAATCCCACTATCTCAAGGTCACAATTACTAAAAATTACAATTATTACGACGATTATCATGTGATTCTGGGTACCTCTTACTACTTCATTTAAAAATACAATGCTAAATGCCACCAAAACTAAATTTCTGCAGTGCAACAAAGGAACACAAACCCAAAAGTAGCAGAGAAGATAAAAGAAAGAGAAGGCCACTAACTTTTATTAAAGAAATTGCCTATATTTCAGTGTACTTACTCGCAAATTACAGGGAAGGACAGGCCCACAAAGGCACTCGACAGGTACTCTGTGTACATCTCATTGGCTACTCCTTCTAGATAATACTTCTGCCATGTGTCCTCCTCAATCTACAACAAAGATGTATCACAAAATACAGAAAGCTTGTTCCATCACAAAAAGAACTGAACACAGAAAAAAAGTTTTTTCCTACCCATACACCAGATGCTGCACAAGGGTCTTATCTGGGATTATCATTATTATCTATTCAGACAATTTCATGGCCAACTATACTTTTGTACTTAATCCAGTGAGCATAGATGGTTTAATCTTAGCTGTGGCTACCTTGATGAAGGACCTCATGGAGAAAAGGTTGGCCAGCATGGTGGAGAGGCCCTGAGCCAAGCAGCTCTGGGCGATGAAGCCGAGCTTCAGCTCCGCAAGACAAATGGCGTCGTCTCCCTCCTTCCAGGTCCAGCTTGGGATGTTCAAAAGGTGGGCCTAAAGGGAGAAAAACAAAGATACATGGTTGATTTACTGAAATGCCAACTGTAGCTAAACACACACAGACAAGATTAAACAATAAAATCTCTCAAGCCTAAATCGTATCAGGGCAAACTAAACGAAACATGAATATCCATGTCAAAATGGAAAAATATATCAAAAACAAACATTACATTATATCTAATTAATGACTCCAAGAAGCTTTGACACAAGTATGAGATTATACCAACCTTATTGTGGTACTGTAACATTTGAGTGATTATTCTGATCTTTGGATGGTAGTTCTTGATGGATATTACCCTAAAGGATGACAAAAAGGACAAAGAAAAATGAGACCACTCGCAAAACGTTTTCCTGTGTCAGTGTCTACTTTTTCCAGGCACGTTTATGTCATTCATAAACAGAAAAACTCCTTATAGCTCCAAGAAAACATTTATATACTGTATTTTATTAAGACAATTTACAACTGGGCAGCTGGCAGTCTACATTTATGTCCAGAGATTTAAAGCTTAAGACAAAACCATTTGTTGTATATTTTAATGAAAGAAAATAGTGCACATTGTAACAGATTCATGTTTCCTCTCTTCCTGAATTCTTGATACTTCTCCAAAAGGGAAAATGAGCACCAGGAGCTTGTTCATGCTGAGAATATGTCCGCTTACAGTGAGAGCCAGCTCCGACACGCTCACTTACACTCACAATTTAAGTCCAGGAAGAAGTGGGAACTGATATCAAACACTGGCGTTCACTTTAATTTGGTAACATTTCATATTTTCCATTCCTATTCTGTCTGGATTTCCAATTACCTTTCAGTAATCTGGGGGACATGCTGTTGCAGAGTTTACCAGCTGCTGTTTATTTTCCAGTTTTCATCCTAAATTCCTTTTACATTTTCAAAGATTTCATATTGTTAAAAAAAGATGAGCCGGTGGAGTTAAACTCCAAAAAGCCAACAAAGTACCAACCGAAGGGAAGACTGTAAATATTACTTTACATGATTACACTGGTTTATGTATACAGATTATTACATATTAAACTGTTCATAGAGTATATTGATTATTGGTATTTCTGGAACACATTTTAACTTAAAAGTCACATTTTCATTTTTTAATTTTTCCACTCTATGTAACCCTACCCCTTACAATAATTAGTCATAATGTAAATTCCCTCATATCAAATCATTATAGGGAAAACATTCTTACAACAAATGGCAAAAGTTCTTAAAGGCTCTTATGGTTGGCTTTGAAACTCCCAACCCATGCCACAGAGCAGTGTGTGTATGTCATAGTCTTATAAATCTTATGAAGTGTTTATTATCTGATTATCTGCCTTTTGCTTTCTCAAGATAAATGAACCCATAATCACAAGAAAATGACTTTTGTTATCCCGAAATAACAAAATAATTAACTTGTGATCTCAAAATAAAGGCATAAAAAGTGTTTCCACCCTTGATCGTTTAGGGCTTCCGTAACAACACAACATCGAATATAAATCGAAAAATAAACCAAACAAGAAACAAAATGTAATTTTTTGAAGAAGCTGCTTCGATTTACCTCATAATATTGGATGCATCCTCAGCATCAGGGTCAGCACAGTATTTGTTAGCTAAGATCAAACAGGCATCAGCTGATTCAATCTGGAAATCACACAGCAAACAGGTAACATTACCCAACTGACATCAGTAAGTAAGTTCAGACTTTATAGACACCAGAACAGCACAGTTTCCTTCTTAGCCACAGAGGAAGGAGTGTCATCCGTCAGTACCTTCACTCTGGCCAGGTCATGTGGGTTTAGGACAGACCCTTGGTAAAACTCCACCTGGGTGAAGTGTCGCTTGAACAAGGCTTCCAGCTCAAGATTAGGGGAAATACTGAGAGAAAAAAACAGAAACTCTTAAATCTGAGCAGGAACACTATTTCTAATCTCCTGAGAGATGATTGTTTTTTTTCTTGAGCATTAAAATGTGCTTCTTTTTTTTTCTTTTTTCAGGGACACAAGTAAAAACAAAAACATTTTGTACTTACTTATGGAGAAAAACAATTTCTACATTGACATCATCCCTGTCCTTGTGTAGGAAGTCTTTTAGAAAGTTGGACACACTCTCAAGTGTTATATGACCACAGACCACGATGTGCCTGGAAAACGAGGTGCAGAATACTAATGAAACTAAAATGTAGTCGGAGTAGAAGTCAATAACAAAACACACACACACACACACACATCGTTGTTTCTTCATCTTTTTCCTGGAATCAAAAGGTAAATCTGAGATGAGAGGAGATGTAATGGGCATGAAAAGTAATCGGTAGTGTTGTATTTAGGTGACTGATTTGAAATCTGTGTGGAAGTAATAAAAACTATGTTACAGGAGGATGGTAGATGTTCCTGTTGTGACGGATGAGGACTGAATGAGCAGGTCAGAGAGCACTGTGGATTTCAGTATCAGATTATAAAGGATCAGAGTTTACTTAGATGGAGATTATGAAATCAGCTCACAGTCTATCTCGATTACCACATATCACAGATCCTTTATGTAAGGAACCATTTTAGATTTATTCCTATATGTCTATTTTCTATTTTTATGTAAACTTTATTTAGAAAAAGAGTTAAAATGTTTACTCAGGTAAACATTTTATCTAATCTCACTGTACTGCAGTGATTCGCTGAGGCTTTAATGTACAACAAACACATGAGAATCATTGTTATTTTGCACCAGTTGCTCTGCTGATTTGTAGAGGAAAACAGTTAAGACCATGTTGTATCTCTACTATGACAACAAGGAGACATTAAAAAGAAGACAGTGGGAAATAGAAAAATAATGCTAATAATTCTATCCGGCTAGGACAATAGCTTAAATGTACGTTAAAAATAAATGTGCATTATTATTTAAATGTGGGGAGCGGAAACTAAATCATACAGGGATAAAAACTGCATCTAGATTTGTCAAAATTGTTGGCGAAATGTCGCTATGCTAGCCGTTAAAAATTAAATTCACCAATAATCAAAGGAAAATAGACAAACTAATAAACACAATATTGTACAAGATACACAAACATTACTGTTACAGCTCTAATTGTGAGTTTTCTACAAAACTGGCCAACAAAAGAAGCAAAGATTTGGTTTAAGAAAGTTTCAAACCAAGTCTGACTTCTTCAAAAGTGAACGATCACAAGTACCAAAAGCATGCTACAAGAAGCCATATTTTGTATAGAGGCATCCAGCAGAATCTCACTATCTTTAGAAACAGCTGCAGAGCTTGGGACACGAAAGTCTATATGTTAAAGGAACAGTTTGACATCTTGGGAAATCCATTTTTTTGTAGAGCGTTAGATGAGAAGAACGATACTTCTCATTAGAGCCAGGAGGCGATTAGCTTAGCAGGAGGAAACGGCTAACCTGGTTCTGTTCAAAGACAAAAATATGTATATCAGCACGAAAGTTTAATCAGTCTGAAGTTGACAAATGAAAACATTTTATCTGTGTTTATACATTCGCAAAAAGAAACAAGTATTTTTCATGGGGCGCTAAAGCCAAGCTAAGCTAAGCTAAGCTAAGCTAATCGCCTCCTGGCTCTAGTTTTATATTTATCATAGAGACATGAGAGTGGTATTGATCTTATCGTCTAACCCTCGGCAAGAAAGTGAATACACATATGTTATTTCCCAAAGTGTTAAAAATATTCCTGTAAACTCAATATTTTATTTAGTTCTGAGGGTGTAGGTCAGACTGAAGATAAAGGCCAAGAATGTTCAGAAGCAAAGCATGAAAAATAGACAAGCATAGCAAGACAAGTTTTTCCAGAACAGAAAAACTAAATTCCAAAAACCAGCGTAAAGCAAACAATGGCAAAAAAAAATAAAGGACTGGATGCATGAGTTTGATCATTTCTTCACTACTGAACTCAGGTAAACTTGAGCTCATCAAGTTTATCATTTTGTCATGATTTTATTGCTGTTTTGAAGGCTTTTCTCTCTATATATTGTTTAATCGTAAATTAACCACTATGTTATGAATAAATTATTATTAATTATTGCCCTTCAAGACAACATGAACATAGTTAGTGAGAAGCATTGGTAGGGCTGTCTCTCATCCATATTTTCCTTTGATCAGATATTTGCCTTATTTAGTTTTATGTAATTTAGGCAATTTGTCTGGTATACAAATTTGAGTTTGTAAGGGTGTGTGGGGAGATGGGTGAACAAAATTAAACTGTGTGAATGATTGAAAACACAACTTTGGCACAAATGTACATTGACAGTAAGCAGCCTACCACACAACATGTAGGATTTTCTCCCTATGTGTCACAGTAGAATAAAGGTATACAAACTGTGATATACCCATAAACTGGTTTGGTGTGGGTGATCATACCTGTCCGTTTTGTTCTGAAATAAGTATTCATTTAATCAGGATATGTCAGCGCCGTATAGTTTTGTCCAAAGTGACACCATGGATAACACAAAATTTCTGATCTGATAAGATTGTAACACAGTAAAAGCACCAAAGTAGTTCTGGTTCAAAGTTGAACCACTGTTGTAAATCACTGCTCAAGATGGAAAACTGGATGTAACCATAGCAAAGATTACAGAGTTCTAAAGTAACACTCTGAACTGATGTAACCATAGCAACAATTACAGAGTTCTAAAGTAACACTCTGAACTGGATGTAACCATAGCAACGATTACAAAGTTCTAAAGTAACACTCTGAACTGATGTAACCATAGCAACGATTACAGAGTTCTAAAGCGAGACTCTGAACTGGATGTAACCATAGCAACAATTACAGAGTTCTAAAGTAAGACTCTGAACTGGATGTAACCATAGCAACAATCACAGAGTTCTAAAGCGAGACTACAGTATGTATCCTTCCTTTTACAAATTATGTAAGAGTAACATATGTGTGATTTAAGCTACATCACCAGTTGAGTCATTGGTGAAACAAGCCTAACCCTAATCATGTGTTAAACTGACCAAGACACAACCTACTTTGCTTTTAATAACTGATCTTTGTTGATTCTTTTTACATGCAAATCAAGGACACTACATTTTTTCTTTTTCCCCAGTAGTAGCATGAATAATCACAGTTTATATCACAGGGATAGATCAGTGAGAAAATCCAACATATGCCAACCTCTATGCATGACAATAGTACACATGGACATGACTACACTGCAAAAATATCTGCCTTATCAAGTAATTTTTTTGTCTTTTTTTGTCTCAAAGTCCAATTTTCTTAAAACAAGTGAAATCAGTTATTCAAAAGTGTTTCCAATAGTAGTTGACATTTCAAAAGAATTTTCCATAAATGTAATTTTCTTCAAGATACTGACCAGATGTTTTTCACTTCATTTTTTTAAGAAAATATGACTTTTAGATCTAAAGAAAATCAATTTAGGCAGAGTTCTTTTTTGCAGTGTAAAAGCAGACATTCATTCATGAAGCAGCAATGACAGCTTGCACATATATATAAGCAGCAGCAATACAGTGCAATCAATTTTACACATTAATCATGGCCAAGTTCTTCAGTCACAGTGTGACTTTTATGCTACTTGAGATCAATACATCTCAAATTACAGTTCCATGACGTCTGTTTAAGCAAAAATCAGGGTATGTCACCTCTTTATGAGAGGGCCAATTAAGTCACACAAAACCACACCATTAAAAGTTTGCTGTTTTTTTCATTTGTTTGACTTACTTTCTGCCTCTGGTCGAGTTATAACTCCCTCCATATTTCTTCCGATTAAGGATGAGAGCAGCAATTTCTGGCACGTAGCGAGCAAACATGGCCTACATGCATGAAAAAGAAAAAGAAAAGGGCATGCAGAGAAGGTTCTACTGCGGCGGAGGCAGTAGAGCCTCCTTGAATACTTACTTTCTCCCATTAACAGCACTATAGGAACCACCATATTTCTTGCGGTTTCCTATTAACTCTATGATTTCAGGGACGTAGCTTGCAAACATGGCCTAAGGAGAAGATAGGAGACAGAAGAAGAGACTAAAAAAAAGAAAGACAAAGAAGAGCAGGTCCTCTATTTTTGCTTTAAAGAAAAGTCTGAAAGACGAACACTACTGTACGTGCAGGAGTAGTATTAATATTTATTTGTTAACAGGAAAAAAGAAAAAGAAAATAAATGTTGCAATTCATTCAAATTAGTCAGTACTGACTGAATGTAGCCTGAAGTTAAATCACAGTTACATTCCAAAGTAGTATGAAAATGAAAAAGGAAATTGTAAGGCCAATATTTACGGATATTGGAAGAATAAAGGAGAAAAATGACAGCTGATGAGCGGTATGTCAATCTGTGATAGAAAAATAAAAATTATAAAAATTAAGAAAAAGCCTTATGTGCCATGTTTTGTCCAACAAACACACATGTGAGGTTGATTTTGATAGCACAGTAAATGGATGGCAGACATTAACTTAACTCTGAGACTCTACACTGAACTCTGCTAGCTCCTATTTAAGTGTCTGTATACTTTAATTTAAAAAATGTGTCTGCTCTTATTTTACTAAAATTGTGAAAATTGTGTGTAAAAAGTGCCATTTAACAGCTTTTACAAGACAAAAATAAAACATTGAATGCTTGCATCTTATTCATTATAATTTCAATTAGCTTGTTTTTATAAAAAATATATTTTTACTGTTTTTGCACAGTTTGGTGCAATATTGATGTGTTTTGCATCATTTTAAACACATTTCCCACAAATGCAGCCTGAAATATTTGATATCTTTGAAAACATTTGCTGTCCAAATGAAAGATTCTTTCAGCTATTTAATTTAATAGTTAGTTCATTAGGTTTAATTAAGTTGATTTAGGCTTTCCAAGGGCATATACAATGTCACTTAAACCCCTTTTATAACCATATTACAGTGTGTCATGCTGTTTAATCCACTCTTATGATATGATCTGTATAACAGTGTCCTCTAAATTATCTATAGCTACTTTCTTTACAGGTAACTCAGGACTCTGGCAAATCCCAAAAAGGATGTTTTCTTTAAGATTTAAGATTAATTTAATCATATTAATATTATTCTGTGAAATCTCTGCTTCATGCAATTCATTCCATAATATGTCTTTAAATATTTATGCAGAAACTGAGATAATGTCGCTACATCCATCAAGATAGGCTATAAAAAATCACCCCTGTCTCATTGTGTTTGTTGGAAAGAGGGAAGTGGGGGGGGCAGGAGTGTGGAGCCACCTGAAACCGCAGTACTTTTACAGTTAATAACAGATGCAAAAATTCTCAAATATTCTACATATAGGAAGTAATAACAGAACAAAACTTCAGGGTAACACTTTATAATTAAGGGTACGAATCATATACTTAAGTAGTGCTTAACTTACGTATGACTCATGATGATTTCATGCAGGATGTATCATTGATTTCTGTTGCTCACCATTAACTTAATTAATTGATTACATCACTATAACTTAATAAATGGTCAATAGGACCTCATGATACATACTGCATTAAATCATGATGAGTCATGCATTAGTTAAGTATTACTTAAGTACATGATTAGTACCCTTATTATACATACAATACCTGTATTAAGTGTTACCAACTTCAGTATTCAACCTGAGTAATTGATGCAATACTGTAAACAACTCATACAATACATGACATGCAACATACTGTGGTGAAGTGGTGAGCCACAAAAACACCTCAGAGTAAACAACAGGTGAAGGGCGTCCTGAGTTGAGAGCGTCCCAGCGTTTGTTAACACCTGGCAGGGTGTGATGATTGGTTGCATGGAGGATTTTAAGCAGGAGTAAGTAATAAGAGGGATTTTTACCAAACCGCCAAGGATGAAGAAGACCATAAACAGGCGGCCCAGGGTGGTTTTTGCATAAACGTCTCCATAGCCAACAGTGGACATAGTAACCATGAGTAAGTAGACACATTCCCAGTAGGAAAGTGCCTGGGAATTTTTGAAGTTTTCCCAAGGATCCCCTGAGTTTTCCACCTGGAACAGAGGTCCGAGATTTTTACAACCACAAAACACACAGAAAAAGAGGATTCTTCTTTGACACTGCAGTAAAAAGCATGTACTTAAAATGTTGCAACACACTAACTTCACCTTAACTCAAACAGCTCCCAGTAACTTACCAAATGAATGAAGCCTGCTGCAGTTAGCCATGTGCTAATAAAGATTGAACACAGGTTCACCAGCTTTATCGAGTTGCTATAAAAAACAAAAACAGAACACAAATGAGTTATTCAGTATTAGTTATGACATTTACATCAGGAAAATACACAGGCCAAGATGTCAAAAGAATCCCTTGGATTAGACTGGAAGATGCATGCTCTAAAATGCATTATACAGCTTTCATATTACATTCATTCATAATGCAATAAAGTGTAGCATTGCGTTGAAGATTTGTTGAAATCTTCCTGATCTATTTAATCTGAGTGTGATTCAACATGCTGCGCAAAGTAATTTCAATATTTTTTTAATTATTGTGTATGGAATTACAGTGCATACTTGGAATTATAACATATATAATATTAGTTATTTAATCATTTAAATATTTATATAAGTTTGCAATATTTTCCCATTCAATTTCTGCCAATAAAAATATATTTTCATCCAATGCCATTAAAAATATGACTAATATCAAAGGTCTTTCTCAGTTTGTCTGTAAGATGTATGTGTGATGACCTTTCTATAATACTGTATATGTATCATTGTGGTACAAGTCCCTGCATGACCTGTGTCCTCTCCTATTTTATGTTCTGTCTTTACCTTCATCTGAGTGAATGAGTGAGGAGATTATTCTAAAGCATTTATTTGCACTATAAGCTCTTCCTGACATCTGTGCAAAGAGCTTTAATTCTAAGCAGCGAGGAAACAGACTTCATCATGCAAGTGCAGCGTGCACAATACAGCACATTACTGGCTGCAGTATTGAGGAATAAACTTAATATTAACTTAACTTTTATGTTTATCAAATGAAATGAAATTAAGTGTTCATGCTAGTTTTAATTCAAGCACAATACTGAAAAAAAAGCGCACTTTCCCCCTTTAAAATAAAACCATATTCATGCTTATAAAATGATCACATTACATGCAATATTCACACTGCTACACCTAAAAAAAGATAAAATATTAAACACTTACCTTGTCTTCAGTATATTCAAAAACTGTAAAATTTCTGAGAACTGTATCAATCTTAAGGCCCTTAAAAACCTCAAGCCTGTGAGAAAAAGAGACCATAAAGAAATTACTTTAAGATGATTAATGACAAATGGAACAACATCAACAGCATTTGACTGCGGTTTAACAAGAACCTCATACCTTTCATACTTTCATCCATGTTTATCAACTTCATTGGATTCATATTGACAAAAAAAAAAAAACTCCGTCTGATCAAGCGACACTTAAGCCTAACTGTATCATAAAAGAAACATTTTGGAGTATGTGGGAAAAAAACAAGCTCAGCATCCCAGATATGTATCTCTCCATCAATTCACAACACTCTCAGGAGCCTCGCAAAGCACCGGCATCTACCTGATACATGTTTCATTCCTGCTGGATAAAACTCTGAACGTGGAAGAGATGAAAACCTGGATTAGAGACAGGTGGACGCTGTCACGCCACATTGATTGACTAAACAGATGTGACGTCAAATCCTAAATTTGAGGGTATTTATGGGAAGAAAAAAAATATAGCCAGCTGTTGCCAAGAGTTCAAGGACGGCATAACACCAACAAAATCAGCAGTGACAACACCAAGCCTGAGCTCCTGTATTGTACGTGATTACAGACTGACTGTATCATACAGTCATTTAAGCTACATATGCGTTAAATCACAGCCTCGTTTCTGCCGTTTCTGTCCAAAAAGCTCAGATGATTAACAGAGAAATCGTAATCTCCTACAAAAACACATCTGAATGAGCAAAATAACACATATTTCTATTGTTTATGTTTCATCATTTCGGTGCAATGCAGTAAGCTACCTGCTAAAAAGGAACCTCCCACCTGAGTTTAAAAGCCAAATGATTCATAGGTCCAACTCAGTTTGAAAGAAAAAAAGTAGAATCCACTGCAGTGTCGGTGCAGCATAAACAATTAAATGCCACCTTGGCCAAGAGTGAACAAATCAAGTGAAATCCATCTCTGCGTGCATTAATCAAGAAGACAAATTTCCTTGCTGGAATAGATTTGTTTGAATGCCAAATGACACAAATCAAAGACGTTACAGGCATACGTTCAGCTAGAAAAATATAAATAAATAAGTTTTTATAAAATGACGTGAACCGTGATGTGCCTGGCCAAAGCTCATTTTTCATTTCAAGTGAGTGTTTGCCAGATGGGGAGCATAATACAGAACAAAATCCTGAACCTGAACCTGCTCCAGCTGACACACAGAGTCCAAACACTTCTGGACACGCTAGCGTTCAGCTTTAGTGGAGATTCCCCCTCATTCCCACGTCCTGTAGGTCTTACCCCAGTAGGAGATTACATGGAAGCATGCACCGAGGCTGTACCAGATGCTGTCCTGGTCCTCTTTCTCGCTGACTTGCCCGTGGCCCATCCTGACCCTGTAGCCATTCTGGAAGAGCTCCCCGGTCGATTTCTTTCGCCTTCTTGTGTTAGAAATCGTCTGAGAGTGCGTGCCTCCATCAGGCCCCCTGTACACTAACATCTTAGTGGGAATCATGTCTGAAAATAATTTTTGGTAAGCAAAAGTTTCAAACGTCCAAAAGTCCCAAATCTGCTTCACATCCACGTCGTCACTCTTGTGCGTTCACCGTGAAAGATATCATGTAGGAAAAATACAATCCTCCAAGAAGAGAAAAAAAATGAAGAGAATCTTTCATGATAGTAGCAGTCAACAGGTTGGCGTCAAAAAGGACTCTTTTTTTGAAGAAGAATTTTTCATCTGATTTACCTCAGACCTTCATAGTATTCTCACTGTGATGAGGCGTGTTCGGCGAGCTTAAAGCAAACCCTTTTCCCATCAGGATATTAGAGTGTAAGCTCCTTTAGGATTCATCCAGAGAAAGGAAGAGGCCAGACAGCGAGTCTGTCCATCAGCTGGCTTCACAATGTACCGTACATCTCATCCCTATAACACCGCAACTGCTCTTGACAAACCAAATTTCATTCTGTAATCTTGGACAAGAACAGCCTGTATCTTTGTCCCTTTGTTCAAAGCAGGAAACAAGGCATGTAAACGGCCAGTAAAGCTGTGTATGGAAAAATGAGAAGCTTTGGCAATAATTGTGTTTTTCTATGGATTTAGTGATTCTGCAATAATCCCTAAATTAATCACAGTTGATGTAATAACTGCTATTGTTGTTGAGGTTAAAACTAAATGCGCAGCATAAAAAAATCCATCACTGTGAAGAGAGAAAATGCAGTCACTGACGTAAATCTGTCTGCAAAGTCCATTTAATCTGAAACGCGAAATGAAATTTGAAATATGTGTCACTTCTCTTGAAAACAAAACATAATTTTGAGCCCTTTCTTCATGAGTCGCACCTGATTCAGCTGCTGAATGGCACAAAACTATTAAAGACGTATTACGTAATCATTAGTTACTCTTTTTATGCCCCCTCATGTAAAATGAGAGTTTTTACTGGAGAATTAACAAAAGTCTGTAGCTACTTGTCATTCTCAAGAAGTAATAATGGATTACTTACTACTTTGGGACTGTTGTGGCCTAAAATGTCTGATTTCACAGCAGCTTTTCCACAAAATCTTCAATATTTTTAGGCATTTTTAATTTTGAATGTGTTTTTTTGCAGTAAAACTGCAGGAGAAAGTGAAAATTGCAAAAGTGGTTGCGTTTCCTTTTTTTGTATAATGCATTAAAAATTGAAGGCAAATTGTTCCAGTGTCTGCTTCTGACTGTGTTCCAAGTAAACTTACAAAAAAAGACTCTTAATAAGAGATTATGAGAGTAAATGTGAGACATTTGTTTTGCATATGTCACGAAGTGAGTTTGTTGATGTATGACTGGACTGCATAGGATTATTATATACCATATAGTCCTCCATTCTGGGTTATTTTGTTATTTTGAAACCACCATCTGCCTATAAATTAATCACAACAAATGAAACTCAAATGACTCAGAACAATGTCTCACTATTCCATCCATCATATTATATAGTTATCTCCACTAAATTACACACCTCTAAGATAAAGCTTTGCCATTCTTTCTACTTTCCTATTCCATTAATCATCCTGCAGCATATTTTACTGCTGACCCTCAAGTTAGGAACCGCAGCTTTAGAGCATTTGAGGACATTTAGTTTCAATGGACAGTTTAATACTAAAAGCCGTTTTCTGTGTTTTTACACTTCAGTTCAGGAGTCAAAAGCTGCAACATGTGGCCGCCACAAGACATGGATATCTTATCTAAAAGAGTAATGTTCTGTTTAGCTTATAATATTTGTAAGAGTTGCACTGGATTCTTTTCACTGTCAGAGATAAATGTGATAAATGTGCTGTTTACAGTAGGTGGCTGCTTGTATTTCACACCTGCAGGAGGTCAGAATTTCCGACTTTGCAGTAAACCTGTGTTTATCAGCTGCTGCATGTTGTTGTTGGGAAATGTGTGTCATGTTCGAACCCGCAAGCTTCTCATGCATCAATGAGTGCATTAGTATGAGAGGACATTAGCGTGTATTTTGTATGTGTATTTGTGTCAAAATGTTCAGACATGAGGATTGGCAGATTGGCAGCTTGGCGGAACGCCGGGTGAAATATGGAGTTTTGATCAGAAGAGGGAGTTCGACAGCTGCTGGCAGACACTGCTGAGCTGGTTACGACCTCACAACCTGTTTAACCCTCAGTTTAACAAAACAGTAATTTACTCACTAATCCTACACAACCAATTGCTCACGGACCATATTGACTGAGATTATGTCTGACAGAGAAATCTTTCCACTGGAATTAGCTCTACACACCCCACAGTATATTTTTAATATATATCTGAATAAGAAATTTGGACACAATTACTAAAGAATTCAAGCCTACATTATGTCAACTAGATGCATAAATGTTTGTATATTTGCTGTTTGGAGTCTAGCAGGAGGTGCCAGAGTAAATAGGACAGTTAACATGAGCAGCGAGTGAGCAGACAACAGAAAGAGTAACACCTTCACAAACGGTAACAACAGAACAACAGGATGCTGACAGTAACAGCAGAATCGCAGTACAGCTCACATTGTTTGACTCAGGAACTCTGGGAAAAAGAGCCAAAATGATCATCAGCACTGAAACTCACAGGTCATCTGAGCAAAATATGATTACATTTTAGAGGTAGGTTTCCAGAAAACATCAACACAAATCATGTGAATATCTTTCTGAAAATGTCTCCTACAAACAAAACCAAAACCAGCATCACACTGAGCAGCTGAATTCCTCAGTGCCCTCAACTTTCAACTTTTATTGCTTCTCTAATTAGATTGGTTAAAATCAGTTCAATACTCTTTGAACCCAAAACATCACTCAGGCACCAAACAGAGCATATCCTTTGATCATTATGTGACTTGGTCTTATCACATCTTTCCATCCACACAGACCTAACATACACTGCAGGAGAGGAGGGATCTGAGGGATTCATTTGTGATTTTGTTTTTTGGGCAGTATGCTTTCAATCAACAGCATTTTAGCTGTGTGGAAAAGTTAAGGTTGGGCTTTATCAGAAAAGGGGAAAAAAAGCTAAAATAATACTAAAACAGAGCAAACAGGCCAATGTGCATGCAAATGATTTCAAAAAAGTTCAAAACAGGAATCATAAAGCACATGTTTTGCAGATAGAATGGTCACAGGAAAACACATATTTGTTGGAGTTGGGGCAAAAAAATGGCCAGTAAAAGTGTATTGTTGCTAACAAACCAACAGCAATTAATACGCAACACAGCCAACAATTATATGGACTTTCTATGCTGTTGACCAAAACTACAATACTGTGAAATACCAGCCATACTCTGACATGTCCACTAGATGGCGCCAGCACTAGCTTGTCCTCCTATTGTTTTCACACCATAAGTCACAGTACATTAGCCCAGGGAAAATACAAAGGCACATTATGCAACTGTACCTATCAAGCTGTCATAGTGACTATAATGTAGAGGGTGTTTATTGCTTTGAGGTGCTGGTGTTGGCTACACGGCAGGTTTGTTCCTCAGCTGACAGGAGAAGAAAACGCAGCTATAAAAACCTGTAATGCAGCAAAAAAATTATCCCCCTTAATCCTCTAATTCCTCACAGACCTCTCCGAGTGATGAGCTTCACACATTTAGCAGATTGACTTCTATTCTAGCACTGGAGCCCCAAAGCAAAGCTTATTACCTTTTTTATCCATTCGTGTACTTTTCAATCACAGCATGATTTCATTCGAGTGTTACTTGAGAGCTCTGCTGGACAGGTGAAGGGCATATGAATAACACCTGCAGCACAATGCCCACTGCCCACAGCACATGGTCAAAGACGTGATAGAAAATGACATTTCCATTCAAATCGACTCGCATAAATGCAAGTTTAAATGGCACACCAGATGACAGCCATACAATGTCTGATAGAGTTGTCATGCAAACAAGCGCCAGTTTGACGAGTAAAGCTCATAAAGCTTTCAAATCATCGTGCGTTTCAGTTTTCATGCTGTGCTGTAGTTTTTAATTTGATGCACTATTTCCACAGTGATAGTGAGGATCATTCAGACTTTTCATGCATGTCATGCAACGTCCCAGCAAAAAGTTTATTTCATGACAAAAATATCAAACTTATATGGCTAATATTGTAGGTGTGCCCATGTAAATGACCACAAATTATCAAGAAGTTTCCTTTTTGCAGCCCTAGTGAGGTGCTGAGATTATCTGGTGCGTTCACTGACAACTGCAAGACTAGTTATATCCACCCGGTGGCACCACAGCCTCCTAAATACAAGCCGAAAGGATCCGCTGTACAATGCTCGGTCTGTTAATCAGCCTGTGTGAGAGATGTGAGCATCCTTACCGAGCCAGCTCCTGTTCAGGTACACCGACACGAACACTGGAGGAACCGTGAAGAAGTCCACCACTGAGTTCACCTCCAACCAGAACCACAGCTTATCATTGGCAGCAATAAACTGTGGAAATGAAGGGTTAGAGATGAGATTCACAGATTCCAAGTACATGGATAAGAGTGCAAATAAACAACATCTATATATTTTTTGTTTTACTTACACGGAGGCCAAAGTACAGCAAGAAGAAGACGTTGAACGCCATGTCGATCTGCAACGTGAAGTCTTTGTAGAAATTCTGACAGGACTCGATAGGACTATCAGACAGAGGGAGAAACAAAGTATGTTAATGTCTTACAAATACTGGCAATCAAGTGTGGAAAGGTTTGGATACATATCAATGTGGAATAAAGCATAAAAGTTGCATTCTTCTTTTCCTGAAAATGCATTTTTAAGATTTTCCAAAAGAAGAGGAACTTAAGTGTTGAAAAAAGTGCAATACTTGGTATTTTCCAATGGTTTTTCTGTTGAGAAAGGACATGCATTTATTGTCACACAAGCAAGAACTTGTCGAGATACCTGATTAACCCTTAAATAACTGCAAAACAATCTGTCTGATGCAGTATTACATAATGAGAATTCAGCTGTTTTCCTTTCAGGCCTGCATTTCCGATTTCATGGACAGCATTTCAGGGTATATATTAAGTCAAACATGATGGAAATGCAGAGCCAAGGCAGTACTTTAAGGGTTAAATGCATGCAGGGTTCATGTCCTCTTTTATGAAATCAGGCAGCCATAGCAAATGCTAGCAATGCAGTGAAGTCTCACCCTCAAAAAGCTTGTATCTGGCACAAAGAATTCAAATAAAGAGAAATAAATAACCAAGTAAATGTGATTGTAATAGGTTAGTAGGATTGGATTATAAAAAAGTATGACCTAGAATTAAAGAAAATATCCTTTTAAAATATTATTCACACCTAAAATGAAAAGACAGGTTTACTGTACATTCAAAATGGAACAATGTTAAACAGTGGATAAACTGTGAAATATATGTTGGATTAATGTATCACTTGAATGAACAGTTGAGTGGAATGAATAAAAATAGACAAGTTTTACGATGGAAAGAGTGATTGGTTAATTGTGTTAGTGCTGAAACAATTAGTCGATGAATCAGTTAATTGTTTGATAGAAAATTAGAATTATTTAAGTCTTTTATTCAACCAAAACATTGGTTCCAGCTTCTCAAATGTGATGATTTACTTTTTCTAGGTTTTATATCATAAACTTAATACTTTGGGTTTTGGACAAAACAAGACATTTGAAGACATCAACTCGGTTTTCATAATGTTTTGCATTTGTTTTTTTTTGTTGTTTTTTTTTACACAAAACAGTAAATTAAAAAAACATTATCTATAGATCGATTGATAATGAAAATAATCATTAGTTGCGGCACTAAAGCAGTGGTTCCCAACCTGAGGTTCCGGACCTCTCCACAGAGTCACAAGGTAAGTGAGGTGAGTAATATAGGACATAAAATAATTTAATTCTGCGACACAATTTTTTTTTTGTTTCTCAGAAAAAAAATGACTCAGCTTTTTATGTGAATTACAGGATTGTTTAACCTCATCAGTCCTAATCCAAGAAGGATAAATTGCTCTTTGGTCTCCAATATTTGTGTACAAATGCGACTTTGGACGAGGGGTCACAGAGAGACATTGCTTCATTTCCACTGGTAACAAGATGAAAAGGTTGGGAACCAACTTCCCAGAGCACAGGTTATTGTGAATCATGCCTGTCATTATTCCTCAGTCTTTCTGCTCTGCAGCATATTAGTGCCAAGCAGGTTCCTCTCATACATTTAGTTAGTTTGTTTCCATGCCTCTTTGTTTCACATTCACAAGGTTCACTAACGCACACCTCATCACTCTACAGCAACAATCTCCCCTGTGCTGTTTAATACCACTCGGATTAAAACAAATTGCTTTGGTTATGTAAAAAAAAAAAAATTCTAATAGACTCTAGACAACTGTCCTTGTGGAGTTCATGAGGTGAGATTAAAATACCTCTGGGATTATTTTTAACTGATCTGATGCAGAGCAGTGACAGTTGATCTTCTGGTTGATGATCATGGAGACTGAAACTATCCTCATCGACCTTACACAACCCATCACATCTCATCCTGGGTCTGACCAACGCAGTATTTACAAAAAGGCTGACCAGCAGACAGAATATTAGTCCAGCTAGGCTGCATTATTTTAACCCTCAAGTGTGAACTGGACTTGTTATTCCACTGTATTTGGGTGTGTCCAAAAGTGATTTCTTCAATAAAATGTTCTATAATGCATGCTTTATCCCATCACTGTGTACTCTGAATATTTAGCATTTATGACCACAAGAAACTGAGAGATCTTTATTAACTTAACACACCATGTTCATGGAAAAAAGAGCACATTTCTAAAATTGTCTTGTCTTTAAGAAGATATTTTACAAAAAAATTAGCTTGATAAGTTTTAAGGAAATTTGTCATACCTTTTAAAAACACTTATTTGACAAGAACTGATGTTTTGAATGTATGTTTCCCCCCTTCTGTTTTTATCTTATCAGCTCTTTAGCAAGTTTTGTTTAGTTTTTTCTCTTTTATGCAACCCAAGTGGTTACATTTAACTTAATCATAACATTCAATTGTCTTGCGTCTAGATCATTTCTCAGTTTCTCAATAAAGATAAAGAAAAATCAACCCTAACCCGTCTTCTGTCAGGTACTTCTAAGAATAGTCCCAACATGCTAGATAGTTCTGCCCTCATTCGCCGTAATGACACGTCATCCCAGCAAATCCCTGTCATAGCAGGGTGACAGACCATATAGCGGAGGCAGACCTGCAGTGCTAAATAATTGAGTTCCAGTATAGGCCTGGTTCGGAAGAGGACTAAGCCTGTTATGGATCACAAACCCTCCCTGCCCACAGTAGCTCTGGTCTCGCTCTCCCTAATTCACACTTAGATCAAACAGGACAGAACAGCTCACAGGTAGGAGACCTGAATGTTCTCTGGTGGCACTGCACATGATTTACAGCCTTAATGGTCAAGAAAAGCTGAATCCATTGAGGTTTTTTTTTTTAACCAGGTGTAAAAAAAAGTATTCTGTCACAAGTTTCTGTGCTGATACCTTACATTGAGGAATATAAATTCTACATAGCAAGTGTATTCATTATTTATTGTGTAAAATTAGTCAAATGTCTAAGTGTACTGTTAAGGGGTTCCAGTTGCAGTGACAAAAGTGTTCCATCTAGCAGCTAAAAGAGAGAGACTATTTTTCGCTGGAGTTGGTGGAGACTAAAACGGAAGAAAAAGGTTGGTTAGCCTACTAATTGACTTAAATTCACTACAGACAGAAACACAACTCCAAAACACTTCCACTTTTTCCACAGGGGGCACCAGAATGAACACTAAAGGTCCCTTGTAGCTGCTTCAATTTAAAGATATAATTTTGATACAATAATATGCCTAGCTGTGGGTTTGTCAGCTTGTTATGGAGCTTTTCTGCCCCCCAACGGCCACATAAATCAATGAATGAAACAAGAAGAAGTATCTTAAACTAGACTGAGAGTCTGACCAAGTATTAAACACCTTGTGCTACAGACACAATTTGTTCAGTACTTATGATTTGACACCCAGCTCTACTTTAACATTGATGGAACAAGGAACAGTGTGGTGTTTATCTAGACTTACAAATTGCATGGGACTACATGGAAGCATAGGGTGCAAAGTAAGACATGACTACAGCTTTATGAAGGAAAACTCCCTTTGGGACCTAACCGGCTTCTTCATCTCTGTGCAGCTCATAGCTTGAGCTCTTTCTCTACGAATCTAAGTGGGTCTTCTGTGTTTATGTCTCTCTCTGTGTCACTTCCAGCAAGATCAGCCTGTCCATCATATAGCAGCCTCAGCAGCCCCACAGGACTAATTACAGGAAGGGCTGTATCTATTGCAGTCTGCTGCCACTTAGAGGCACGCAAGAGAGCAGCTAACTGGCTGCTCTTTGGCTTTAAGTACTGGGCTTGTTGGGTTGACAGCTAGTGAAAAAACTATTGGCTGAATAATAGAAAGACCTGGACAAGACTGAATGAAAACTGGGACAAAGAGCCTTATAGGAATATGAATATAAGTCATCGAACAGGTGGTGCAGCATCATTTAGTAATTGTGTTTTTAACAATGCCCCTTCTTATGTGTGAAAAGGTTAAAGACAGAGGTCGTAGGTCATCCTTCATCAGTTGAAAGGTATCGGGCGCCGCTACGAGCAAGTTCTGAGAACGGGAGGCCACAGATGGCATTGGTGAGGATGTAACTCTACCTGAGCTTGTCCAGATAATGAAATGAGATCATGCTCACAAACCACATCAGAGCAAGCCAAGCCCTCAGCTGTATGCAGTCTTATGAAATAACAAATAACCTGAATGCCTGCCTCCAGGACCATCAGTCAGATTATGTGAGTTTACAGCCCATTTTCTGTGCCTTAACTTTACTCCCAGTGGAGACTCCCTTTGGGTTTGATAAAAGCCCCCCCAAAAAAAGCTTTTATCCTGGTGTGTTTTTATTCTGTTTCTTTAATGGCACATCCTGCCCAACACCACCAAGCAGCAGTAACAGTATACTGTCGCGCATGGAGCTAAAAGGGTCTTCCGCTTCCTCTAGGTTGATGAGCGATGTTGATTGTTTTGAACAGGAACTTTGGGCTTTCCTGCCTGTTTGAGGGTCTGATCCTTTCATTACAGAGATTAAGCAAATTTCATCTGCGAGTACTGGCGGTTTGTCAGCAGAGATCGCCAGTAAGCTCGGAGCAGTTTACCTGAAAGGGGATTGGATAAAAGGAAGTATGTGTTCTCAAACACCATACAGAGCAAAAAGCACTCAACGTTATTAAGGCTAGAGCTTCAATATATGCACTATATGAGGATTTATGAGTGTATATGAACCAGTTAATGG